TTTTGCGTTCAACTATCTTTTTTTTTTCATATCAAAAAACTGTTTGACAACAATGAAGGGTTTTACTTTGGCGTTTGCGTTGAACACATGGATAGTTCAATGGACTCCGGGGTTTTTCAAACGCTAATATGAAATTAAATCGTTTTGTTTGGATCGTGATGTTTATGTTAAAGTTAGTTTTTATTTAAGTATCCAATTGTAATGTCACATCGCATCGAAGATAGAAACGTTGACGGTGTTTCATCGAGCGGTCGAATGTGTTAGTTGGCAAGAGATCGTGATCTGCATTATTTTACAGTACTTCTAAGTTTTCGTACGGAAAAATTAGAAAGCACAACTTTCGGATTGGGCGCAATGTCTGTCAGGGTGTATTCGCTTCTTTCTTCTTTTTTTGCATTACAATCCATTGTCAAATGGTTTAGTTATTTATTCAGAAAACTGATTGCTTTCAATGAATATGACATCACACAATCCGATCAACAAAACCGAAAGAATATCAGCTTAACGCAAATAACATCACATAAATTTACATCATACTGTTTGTCTATCAATAAAACGCACACCCGCGCCCATACTATATGTGTACGATACACGAATACATAGTCACACTGAAAGATGTTATTTTAAGTATGACCTTTATTTTGAATGGAATCATTTACAAGTAGTTATAATTTCAATGTGCTCAATTGAATCTGTCGAGAGAAATAGTTGGAGAATGGCATAAAAGAAGAGAGAGAGAGGGACGGAGTGAGTTAGATCAGCTAAAGTAAGTGCCGTTCGCCCTGTACTGTCTATGATATTATGTGCAAATGTTTAAACAGCGGGCACTATAAAAAAGACGACAAAAGTGCGATCAACATGAGTTTTTAATTTGGATTGCATTTATACATTCTCCTGGCCATAGAGTTCAAATTTCTCTCCGTCGCTCTGCCATTTCTATCTCTTTTATTCTCATTTGTGTGCTTTTTTTCTTCGTTTGCTAGTAGTTGTAAATATAATTTAATTAACATTTTTAATATATTTGACTCGAAGACACGAGAACTTAGCATGAATGCTATCTATAGTTTGAATCAGATTTCTCATCCACATTTCACAATCATTTCATTTGCGCAACAGCCTGCCAACCGCGCCGGTCCGTCCAATGAAATGTAAATTTGATGCAGAAAATGCGGACCCAATATTTATCGGTCGCTATAGTCATATCTTTAACTCGTTTACTGCAGAAACACACACACAAATTATTCATTATTAAATAGAAGCACATCTGTGTGTAATGTTGATGAGTGTTTGTTTTTTTATTCATGAAATATTCAAAGAATCGTTTGGGTTTTTGATTGTCATTTTACAAATAAAAAAAAAACAATTAAAATCCAACCACCGAAATATAGTTCAAAACATTGAAGAAAAAAACACCAATGATTGATCATATACTATAGAAACCAAACAACACACAAACTCAAAGAACAATACTGGCACAATACACTTCACATATCACAAAAGTCAAAGCGGTACAATCAGAATATGCAATCAACATAAAAATTGTTCGAGCAAATATGAAAAGCGTAATTTACAAACAAATGAATATTACCGAACTCTGAATATTTATCTCATCAGTGAGCTACCGTTTTGAATAAAGAACTTGGTTCGCCCGCTCGCTCATGCACATATATACACACATAAACACGGCTTAACAATCAACAAACAGTTTTATGGAAATGATTGTGACAAATGATGATTTTTTTTTTTTTTTCAAAAAAACGAACACCGAACAAAAGCTTATTTAAATAGACAAACTTCACTGGACCAATAAAAAACACGAACTTAATGGATAGTCGTCACGGTGCACGCGAACATATTTATATTGAAATATGATTTGTGAAACGGTACTCTATTTTTTCGGGTTTCTTTTTTTATTAAAACTTTTTGTTGTTGTTTTCATTTCGACGTAAATTTTTCGGTGTTATTATTGTCGTAGTCTTCGTGAAACAAGAAAATGTGACGAAAAAAAATACAAAAAATTTTTTTACACATAGAACGAGAGAGTAGAGCGCAACTGGTTCGAGCCCATCGACGGTATTTATGTGAATAAATGTAAAAATAAATACGGAGAGTGTTGTGGCTGATCCCACATTTGAGCGGCGCGACAATTTAAAATGTTTTTTTTTCTTGTTTGTTTCGTGTATATGCAGAAACGACGACGGAATGAATATAATTGTTGGACGGAGAGCGTATTGAGAGACAAAATAGTAGGGGGAAAAATGAAAGAGAAAATGAATGAGAACGAACTATTGAGAAAACAAAATAAAGAATGACAATCACCGAAAATTGTTGCCATTAGAGTTGAGAGAGCATGAATAATAAAAACGAATATTATAAAAATTGTGTCTCTCTTTTTTTCTCACTCACTGTCATACTACATTTCTTTATTGTCGTGATTCACATTTCCATTTCCAGATGCGGACAGCAGTCAACGAACGAGTTTTTCCATCAAAATTCATTCCGGAAAACGATTTGTTGTTGTTTTGTTTTATTATTGCCGCTGTATTTTTGTTTTTCTTAATGATCGTGCGTTGTACGAGACTCGGTCTTTAAAATTCACTTTTATTCATGTGCGTGCAGGGGAAGTGACGTTTAAAAACAGCGGAAAATAGAAGAAAAAAAAATTAACACAGAAGATGTAAATATATGACAAAGAAAGAATGAACAATTGCAGCGAAGAGAACGAATGAGAGACACCATCGACAGGCAGTCGAGCGTGTGTATGTGTACATTTTTCATCATTTACGTCGCACTCGCGCACGCTACTATTTAACGCGACCAACCTAAATAGCGATCGGCTCATAGAATCATACGTACCATAAATGAATATCGATTCCGCTGACTTTGTTCTCTGTCATTCTCTCACTCGTTCTTGCTCTTTCGTTCACGTTTCGGCCGTCGATTCTTTTTTTTTTCTATGTTAAATGTGTCTTTATCCCGCTTCGTTCATGCTGCACTGGCATGTTTATGCTATCTCTATGTATTTTTGTTGAGGTTGTAATGTGTACGGTTTCCCATATGTTTTTCCTATCTAAATGTAATTGCTGAATACGTTTGTGTAGCTCAAATTTAACATTTTTTTTTTATTTCTTTTTCCTCTTTTTCTCTATGAATTTGTCTTTGTTGTTGTTCAATTGCGTTAAGCATTTAAATTTTTGTTGCTGTTGACTCGCACACGAACATACCATTTTGATTGAAGTATACATGGTGTTTTATTAAAACGAATGAATACCGCTATGTGCATTTGACTTGTTTTTCGGCATTGTTTTTTTCTCATTCGACTGATACATTGGGCTCAATGACACTCTGTGAAATGTGCACAGTGACCATATATGAACAGCATCCGAATTAAAATTGAAATGAAGACAAAAAAAGAACCCATTAAGTTGATAGACACTCGAAAGAACAAAAAAAAAACCAATTCATACCATTTTTGTGCGACCATTAAATGATCCGTAAATGTGATAGAATATGACGTCACATAAAATAGAATGTAACATCGTACAAGAAAAAATAAAACTATTGGAACATCGTTCGTTTTATCTCACATTTATCAAAAAAAATCTATAAAAATATTCTGTATACACTGTAAGTCTTTTGTACTTTTGCCGACTCAGTAAACTCGATAATATTGAATCCTTTCATTATTACACTTTTATCTACCACATGGAATCTTATTTCTTCATTTTCTTCTGCGCTAATTTCTTCTTCGTCGGCATTGCACATAAAATTCAATATCTTATAACTCTTAAGGTCATCAGTGTTTGTTATCGATACTCGATCACCACACCATCATAACACGGAAAATGGCATTCCAGCCGTTATTATCTAGGTATTTTCGAGTGATTATTATTTCTTCTTCATTTCTCACTCATTCGCATCATCCGTGTTTACACAATCCAAACACAATCAATACTCTCTCATTCATAAGATCAAAATATAATCAAGAATTCATTATTCAAAGCCCTAATACCTAGTTAGATATTTGATCTATCGGTACTAGTTTCATTGGGATGTTGTTTGTTTCTTTCATTCTTTCTTCATGAAATCTAAATGCAGAAGCCACAGAGCCGTTGTATATGAAAGCAAAAAAAACAAACTCAGACGAAAGAAAGCGGCAAGTGAAATGTAATATAGCTCGAACCGTGAACTGAAAATGTTTGTTCCTTATGAAATCGCATTTTTTCGTGGTTATTTTTAGGTTTTTTAAAAAGCCAACCATTTCACGAAAATGACATTATCGTCCGGTAACTTCACAAACGGATGCCAAGAAATTGGAGACACACCGCATCGAAACACAGAAAACAAATTAAATAGATAGAATGAAGAAAAAATGTTTCAGGCGCTTTTTTTTATTAATTAGTAGATGAACGAGGCTTATATTCGTTGTCGGTGTTTTTTTTTTAATTTGCTCTAGATATGTAGAAATAAGTCGTGGTCTTGAGGCAAAAAGAAAACATTTAGGCACCCAATGTTCGCCGCTAGAGCAAAAGGCGAAAACGAGAAAAAGAGAGAGAGAAAGAGAGAGAGATGAGAACAATCAATCTAAAAGTCTTAGCGCCGACTAAATTCTATCTCGCAACGAATCATTTTTTTCTATTTCGTTTTGATTCTTTATTCGTGCGGGGGGAATTCGTTTAATCCAAATTTTTTTGCCAAACGATTTTTTCTTGTGTCCGCAAGGCATCGAATAACCTATGAAAAAAGATTGCCGTTTCGATTTGGTTGAAACGGCGCACGTGCGCAACTACCCTTCGCGTAACGACGTGGAAAATGAATACAATTATAGATGCAAGAAAAGAGCTACAAACAACGTTCGACAGTATAGCAACTTTCCAAACGTAGTCAAAACAAATACAACGATACATTCGAAGCGGCTACCCTTGGTAATAAAACGAGCACCAAAAGTCAAAATATGAAAATTTCACCAATAAACAAACGAAGCTAATCATAATATTTACCCAGTGAAAAGATGCATTCTGCTCCAAGAAAATATGAATCGCGCGTCAATTCAATGAAATTTCATCCATCACTTTTTTCGCTCTGATTTTTTTCATGTTACGAAATATGTTTGTTGTTGTTTTTTCACTCGGCTGTCCAAGATTTTTCTTTCACAACTAATAAATCTTTGTGGTAGAGATTCTGTCACTTTTCTCAGATCTCAAAGACCTTCATCATATATTCTTTTTTTGCTTTTCTCATTCATGATATGTTTGGTTCACTTAGATGCGCCTAATGTATAAAATCGATTTTCTGCATCGTTGGAATCGATTCATATCGGTTCAGTGCAATCGTCTGCACTTTTCTTTGCTTCATTTTTAATAAATGATTTTACATTTTATTTGATTTTCAGTTGGTTCGAATTAAGTACAATACACAAATAGATATCATTCAATTGGAATTCATAACTTTTAAATCACGAATATTTTTTTTTGGTATTTGATAAATTACAAATAAACACTATTAAATCACACAACAACAATTGTTTTTTTTTTGAAAAAAGTATTATAAAGACGGCCACCGAAACGAAATTAAATATATTTATTAAAAAGAATCAACTAAAAATCCTCTCATAGTGAGAGAGGGAGAGAGACAGCAAAGAAGTGTAGGATATATATATATTTTTTTTTTCAGTGAAAAACTATACGAAGCACACAGAACAAACTCTTAAATCAAATGTGATGGATATATTAAAATCCATTATTTGCGAACCGTGTACGGATGATTTTTACTCACATATTCGATATTTCTATAGCGATGTTTGGATTCTGCGCCGTTTTCACTATTTTACGGACAAACCGACCGAACAAAACGAAAGAAAAGACATCATTCTGAATTGCGACGATTGAGTCAACATGTATGCATATGTGAGAACATGTGCGTGTGTATGTGTGCCAGAGAGTACTAGTCATTCGTTGTTGATGGTAACGGATGTATATGTGTATGTGAGCAGTCATTTGCACTCAATGGAATATGAATATACAATGTATTGAATGGGAAAAACGTTTCTATTGCGCTAGAAAAGGAAAACCAAAGTGTGCACAACAAGGACAATAACAACATCTGCGATGGGAATACTTTTCAGTCTGTATAATCGACCCTCACATTACATATATCCTTTCCAGTTTTCCGTTCCGTTTGACATTGCACATGTGTTCATGTCAAGTCATTGGAAGGGTATTTCAATGTTAATACAAAGAAAAACGATCCATTGCAAAGATAAAATCATTTGTTTACTGATTTGAATTCAAATTTATATATTTTCCCAATAAATGTCAACAAAGTAAATGAATATAACATACAAAAATGTAGTTTTGTAAAAAAAAAAACAAAAGAAAAGTTATTTTTATGAACAAAAATAAAACCTATTCATCCTTTGGAACACTTGAGCTACCGATATTATTATCGATGGAATAAATTTGGTATTGTCTTTTGAGCAATTCATGAGTATAAGATTTGCATGATAATTTAATGCCCCTCTCTTCATTCGATATAAATGTTTGTAAAAATAAGCGATTCATTTGGTGCACATTTGGATGCTGCAAATATTTATCATAATCCATCCATTCGCATCGAGCGATCTCTCGTTCGCATTTCGTTATCTCTTGAGTTTGTGGCTTTAAAGCGACCACAAAATATAGATCGGAACACCCAAATCCGATTTTAATTTTATCATTTCCACCCATTGCATGTCGAACGCATACCAAAGAATCAAATTTTGTTTCAATTCCCGTCTCTTCAGCCACTTCACGAATCGCAGCGTCCACAAAATGTTCATCTTGAATGAAAAACAAAAACAAAATTGAAATTTTGATTCAAAATAAAAACCATCAAAATCACAACAAATTTTTATACTTGGTTCAACGTAACCCCCTGGCAGTTTCCAAGCACCCTGAACAATTGCCCGATTTTCTTTGATTGTCAGTATTTGTTTCTGATCATTCACAACCAAACCGCCAACACCAACCATTGTATGAGCATACACAGGAATATTTGCCGATAAATTTACTGGCAACCATTTGTACATCATAACAAATCCCTCTTTCGCATGGTGAAAATCGAAGCCATTCTAAACGAAACAAAATTCGATTTAATTTGATTAAAAATTCCCAAAAAAATAAAAGAAAACTCATTCACCTCAACGAGTGTTGGTACAATTTGTGCATGACTGGTTTTCACCTTGAACCAAATCGTTCCCATTGACCTCTGTTGCCAGTGTTCAAGTGAATCTATTCAAAGGTCATGAATAAAATATTTTCTTACATAATATTACTTGGAATGTATACTACATACGTTTTAACTTTTCGGAAAATCCTTCAACCACCGTTTCATTTTCCGTATCAATTGTGATGCCATTATATCGGTCAAGCGTACCGTTAAATACACCGTTTTCATCAGACATTTTGTTTGATAAAAATCTGCAAAATAGATTGTTTCCTTTATTTGCTTCTTTTTTTTTCTTTGCAACGAGACAAAGTCCATATGCAATACCGAATACCTTTTGATGGAATTAAATTGATTTAAATGAGAGTCCTTTAGATAATTCTCAAAAATTCTCAGCACACTTGAACGATATAACATTTAAAACTAAAAAAAAGTTTCAAAATACTATTGATTGAAAGTTTGATATGAAATCACACGATTTGCTAATAAAACAACAACAAAGGCAGTCTCACTATTCGCAATAAAAAAAAAAACAACAACACACAGTGACAATTACTCGAATCAAAGTAACCTAATCAAAACAAAAACTTTACAAAATTTTAGTTGTCAGTTGCCACAGTGGTGTGACGTTTCCAATGTTCCGTTTTTCTTAACTGAGAGGCGGTGAAATTCAAATATACAGTTCGCAATGGAGAGAAAAGTGTGCTAAAGTGGTCATAAGATTCACTAATAGTTGGTGAAAATTCGAAATTTTAAACTGTAAATTCGTTCCAAAGTGTAAAACCGTTTGTGGGGTCGAAAAATTGGTAAACAAAATTCGATTCCACAGCGTTTGCTGCGTTAGGTTCGCGCTCGAAATTGAAATGTCAAACATTCGTCGGTGATGCCATTGTATAGTTTCGATGGAATAACGCACATGCCCATGGAGCGAGAAACGCAGCGTTTCTATGCATTAATAGTATTTGTGACAGAGTAAGACCGCATTTCATTCGTTTCGATATTTTTGCACGGAACACAACACACATTTCAATGCTCGTCGCGCGCGCCAATACTCATACACATACACACATATACATCGAGAGTATACCAAAAAAAAAGATTGGTTGGACAGAACAAGCTGTAAGTTTAGTGAGAGAGGAATAAAAAACGGCAAGTTCTTTTACGTTTAATATTTTGTACGGAGAACAATGGCGGCAGAGCAAACTGATTTCAGTCAAATATTAAATTCATTACTTTCGGTTGACAATGCGCTCAGAGCTAGTGCTGAGGTAAGTGATTTATTTAATAAAAAATGTGTGCAATACAATGTGAAAATCAAAAATTGTTCCGTGATCATTGAGTGTCTAAAAAACAGTTGTTAAAATCAAGGTAAAAAAAATGTCCGCAATGTGCAGTGAATCAGACAGACAACGTGGTTTCTCTTGTGTACTATGACAAATAAAAAGAACCGAACAAAAAAGAAAACGGCACGAAGACCAATAGCGTGTTTATGATATATATACATATATGAGTAATCTCATTGATATAACCTATAAATTGCATGTGATGTGTGAAATTTTCTTTCTTTCTTTCTTTCTAATGATTTCGCCGTATTTTTTGTTCCGCAAAAAGAGATAGTTAGTTTTTTTTTAAATTTGTTCTGGACTTTTCCATCAGAACCATATTTTTGGATGATATTTTGAATGCGAACGAATGGAAATAAGAAAATGTGATGAATGTTTATTATACAAAAGCTGTATACATTATAATATGAAGCATTTTTTCCACTTTTTTTCTTCTTCTTTTATTCTGCACTTGATAGGAGCAATACAACAATCTTCCAGTTGACGTCAAGGTGACTCAATTGTTGACTGCATTGCATACGAACACCTTAAAAGATGATGTACGGCATATGGCCGCAGTCATACTTCGACGACTATTTTCATCGGAATTTCAAGAATTTTACACAGCCGTAAGTATCAAATGAATTGGTATTCTTTCTTTTTTTTTTAAAATAAAATTTGTATACGTTCTATCTTTTCACCTTAAAAATGAACCTATTTTAAGGTTAGGTATATTCTATTGACCTTACATTGTTTTTTTTTTTTTTTGTTTTTGTTTTGATATTGATTAGTTACCGGTTGAGCAGCAAGCTCAATTTCGTCAACAAATTTTATTAGCCGTGCAACAAGATGTGAATCCAGAACTTCGGCGTAAAATTTGTGAAGTAGTTGCCGAAGTATCACGGAATTTAATCGACGATGATGGAAACAATCAATGGACGGAAATTTTGAGCTTTATGTTTCAATGCGCCAATTCGCCAAATGTTCAATTACAAGAGTCAGCATTGCGCATTTTCACCGGCGTACCAGGCATTTTCGGCAATTTGGAATCACAATACATGGAATTAATCAAACAAATGCTTCAAAAATCAATGGATCCAAGCTCAAGTCCCGAGGTTCAATTTCAGGCCGTTTGTGCGGTCGGCGCATTTATCAATCGTCACGCAAAAGACAACGATGTATTAAAACATTTTGCCGATTTATTGACACGTATTATTTTCATCACCGCTGAAAGTATAAAGGCTGAAGATGATCAAACATTGTTGAAATTATTGATTGAATTGGCCGAAAATTGTCCGAAATTTTTGCGCTCACAAATCGAATTCATCTTTGATATGTGCATTAAAGTATTTAGCAATCCAGAAGTTGAGGATTCATGGCGACATTTAGCACTCGAAGTCATCGTTTCATTTTCGGAAAATGCACCGGCAATGGTACGCAAACATGCCGGCAAATATATCGAAGGTAGGATTTAGTTTTGGAACAATTTCTTTTTTGTTGAAAACATATTCAGGAGAACATATTTATATTAATTTAAATTGAATTTAATTTTGCATTGAAGTATTGATTCCGGCTGTTTTGGCAATGATGACCGACATTGAACACGACGATAACTGGGCAGTCTCAGATGAAATTACCGAAGAAGACAACAGCGATAACAATTGTATGGCCGAATCGGCATTGGATCGCTTGGCCTGTGGTTTGGGTGGAAAGATTGTGTTGCCACACATCATTAAGATCATTCCACAGATGCTTAGTCATACCGATTGGAAACAACGTTATGCTGCATTGATGGCCATTTCGGCCGTTGGCGAAGGTTCACACAAACAAATGGAACTTATGTTAGATGATATTATGCGTGGTGTTTTGAATTATTTGGCCGATCCACATCCGCGTGTACGTTACGCTGCATGTAACGCAATCGGACAAATGTCAACCGATTTTGCGCCAACATTCGAAAGAAAATTCCACGAACAAGTCGTTCCTGGTTTGTTGAATTTGCTCGGTGATGTGGCCAATCCACGGGTTCAAGCTCATGCTGGTGCAGCATTGGTCAATTTTAGCGAAGATTGTCCGAAAGTCATTCTCACCAAATACTTGGACGATATCATGAAAAAATTGGAAGGAATTTTGAACGATAAATTCAAACAACTGGTAGAAACAGGAACTAAGCTCGTTTTAGAACAGGTAATTATAACAAACATAACCATTTGATTTAGTTCAATCAATTCGATTTAAAAAAACAAAACAATAATTAAATTTTAGATTGTAACGACAATTGCATCCGTCGCCGATACAGTTGAAAAAGATTTTATTCCATATTACGACCGCTTTATGCCGTGTCTCAAATATATCATTGAGCATGGTACAAGTGAAGAATTGCGAATGTTGCGCGGCAAAACAATCGAATGCGTTAGTTTAATTGGTTTATCGGTTGGCCGGGACGTATTTTTGAATGACGCAAATGCCGTCATGGAATTGCTTTTGAAAACACACACCGAAGGTGAACTGGCTGACGATGATCCGCAAACATCGTATTTGATCAGCGCCTGGGCACGTATGTGCAAAATTTTGGGCAAACAATTCGAACAATATTTGCCATTAGTAATGGGTCCCGTGATGCGAACGGCCGCCCTCAAGCCAAATGTTACAATGCTCGACAACGATGAAATCGAAGATATTGAAAACGATGCTGACTGGTCTTATATAAATTTAGGCGAACAACAAAACTTTGCCATCCGAACAGCCGGCATGGACGATAAAGCGTGCGCCTGCGAAATGTTGGTGTGTTATGCACGCGAATTGAAAGACGGTTTTGCTGAATATGCCGAAGAAGTTGTACGCTTGATGGTGCCAATGTTAAAATTCTATTTCCACGATGGCGTTCGTTCTGCTGCCGCCGAATCGATTCCATATCTATTGGATTGCGCCAAAATCAAAGGACCTCAATATTTGGAAGGAATGTGGTTGTATATATGCCCAGAATTATTGAAGGCTATCGATTCAGAGCCAGAAATCGATGTGCTGGCCGAATTACTTCATTCGTTGGCGCGCAGCATTGAAACACTTGGACCAAATTGTTTGTCACCCGAGGCAATGGAAAATGTACTGAAGGTTATACAAAAATTCATGGGCGAACATTTTGAGCGCGAAGAGAAGAGAGCATTGGCACGTACCGAAGAGGATTATGACGATGGTGTTGAGGAGCAGTTGGCTGAAGAGGATGACAATGATATTTTGGTATTATCGAAAATTGCCGATATCATTCATGCATTGTTCAAGACATATACAACCAATTTCCTACCGTTCTTCGATCGTGTCGCACAAAGTTTTGTTAAATTATTGGATCCAAGTGGACCATGGGCAGACCGGCAATGGGGATTATGCATATTTGATGAAGTTATTGGTAGGATTTTTCACATGTTTTTTTTTATCGCCAAAATGTAAACGTATTTTTTTTTTGTGTATGAATAGAATTCTGTGGACCACTTTGCGCCCAATATCAACACATTTTCCTGCAACCACTGTTGGAATACACCAAAGATAAAAGCCCAGAGGTTAGACAAGCGGCAACATACGGTTGCGGTGTTTTAGCTCAGGTAAATTTATTTCGATTCAAATGAGTCAACAATTGTCGAAAGAAATATATTTATTTGAAATTTCATTTTGTGGCACAGTTTGGTGGTGATCAATTCGCTGTACCTTGCGCTCAATGTGTTCCAACTTTGGCTGAAATTGTCAACGCACCACAAAGCCGAGAACCAGAAAATATAAATCCAACAGAGAATGCCATATCGGCCATTACGAAAATCTTGAAATACAATAACTCGGCATTAACAAATCTTGACGAACTGATTCATTTGTGGTGAGTCTTAAATGAAGCTTAATTTCTTTAAATCCGTTCAATTGTTGTTTATTTCTTTCATTCATTAGGTTCAATTGGTTGCCAGTCATAGTAGATGAAGAAGAAGCACCGCACGTATACGGATACTTATGCGATCTGATTCAAGCCAACCATCCCATCATTTTAGGTGCAAACAATTCAAATTTGCCACGCATTGTGGCTATTATAGCCGAAGCATACTTTAATGAGGTAATCGAAGCAACTCACGCGGTTGGGCGTCGTATGTTGGAAATTGTCAAACAAGTTGAACAGAGTCCGGATGTATTCCAAGCCTGTTTGAATAGTCTGTCGGCTGACCAGAAAAAAGCATTGGAAGATGCTTATCGAGAATTAGCGGCGTCTGTTGCTGCTGTTTCAGCTTAAACACTCTCCTCCTGCCCCGATCATCACCTTTGACAACGGTTTTTGTTAAACTTATTTAAGAAAGAAATTCATATTTTTTATTGAGTAAATCTATTGAAAAAAAAAGAACCTGAGAGAATATTGTGTGGTCCTCTGTGGATTGAATACACTGGAGAATCTATTAATATGTATATCTGCTTCGAATTCAATTTTTAAATGCATTCGCAGTGAACTGATTCATTTTTTTTCTTTTCGAAATGTCTTGTAATTTTTCATTGATTATTATTATTAATATTAATTTGCCACACAAATAATACCATTCTTTCCGCCAAATTTGGCGCAATAATGACGTCCAATTTCTTTTAAGAAACTAAAACATCCACATCAATTTCGGATGAGATTTTAATTCAAATCAATTTATGTTTATTTACATATTTTTTCAAATTCTAAAGATAGACGAAAACTAACAAAAACCACATTTGAAATCAAGTAAATTAGAACACTCTAGAAACATATTTTTTTCTCAATTGATTCATTGAAACAAACAAAATGTAACAAAAACCACAATGAAAAATTACGAAAAATTCAAATGCAAAAATAAAAGATTTCTTGTTAATAAAGTCAAATTCACTTTTATTTCTTAGTATATGTGCAGAGATCTACATAAAAAAAAATAATGGAATGAGTCAACTTTGGAGGATCGTTTCGATTTTCCCTAATATTATAATGTCTGAAGGTAAAAAATAAAATGGGCGTCAAAAAAGCCATAAAGTAAGTTTAACTTAATGTAAAAGAAAATTAAAAAATAGTCTTAACAACGCTCTGGAAATTTTACACGAGGGCTCTAGCCCACCAGATCCGACGCTAATTTATTTCTTTTCAGTATTAGGGTGGCACGTTTCACATTGAGCCCCATGTCATTTATTTTTTCAACAGAGCAGTACTGCCAATTGGTTAATAAGTGATAATATGTAATTTTTACGAGGAATATAATTATAAATATCATAAAAACAATTTCAACCAATTAGTCCTTTGAATTTAAGAGAAATTGAACAAGTGAACTTACAATAGATCTTAAATCACATAGAAATGCTAACTAGTGCACAAATCAACAATAAAAAAGCTTTTGAAATAGTTCAGTTATACAAATTTGCGTAAATGTTGCGTGACACAGCTGAAAATCAATTCAAGTTTGTATAAATCAACGCCTTTTATTTTATACTTAAAATTGAGAAGTTACATTTTTAAATAAATCTCTTGGACACACAATATTTCCAAAACCTTTCAAAACAAACGAATCATGAAGACTCATTAAAATGATTGGCAGCATGCGCTGTTCTCCAATTGGCCAGGAATACCATTCGCATTAATAAATTGTAACATTTAAATCTTCGAATCGTTCCGTATATATTTCACCACCTTCACAATAAATAAAACTCACAATTAGTATCCAAAACATCATGAGAAACAATTTGGCATTCTTCTAAATTTGGTTGCAAAAGGGAAAAAAGTTTTACGAAATATTCCAACCGCCGCCAAAAATTGATCTGAAAGAACATTTTGCGTTTTGATTTTTTAAATTTTTTTTTTCAATGCTTCATGAGAAACTGAGACAAAAACGAAGTAAAACCAAGTCTATAATGTAAAAAATTTAATTATTGTATGTACATATTTTTCAAATTTGCGAACGAATATTTTTCCAAATAATCAAAGAGAAGAAAAAAAGAAGATCTATAATAAATAGAATAAATACAAAAATAAATAGAGATAAAAAAGAGCATAATTTAATTTTAATGGAATAGTTTTTTGGCGATGCGATCGATTTCATTGTCAATATGATCTTGTGGTAGCTCACATACAAACCGTTGCTGGCCGTTACAATCAAGACCGTACAATTGATAAATGTGTTTGTCCGCCCTATACGATAAACCCAAACACCGGCCATTCCCTTCAATTTTCATATCTTTCTCATTCGTTGGTGGTTTGTTAGTTATTTTTGTGTTTTCAATTTTCTTTTCAATCGGAATGACCGTTGAATTTGTGTTCGATCCCTTTTTCAATCCCTTCCTACTATCGTCATTTATTTTGGTTGTGACCTTTGGCATTACCGTATCCGCTTGATTGATCTTATGTATTTGGGTTACATTAACATTGGGATTAACTGGACGTGCTGAAGATGACCAAATCCATAAAAGTCCCGGGTTCAATGCGCCCAACCAAAAGTTACCATGTCCATTCAAAAGTTGTTGATGATTCAATAAATAGGCGGCCATATCGTTATTTTCATTCGAACCATCCAGTTCGGCCAAGTGTGCACCATATGATCGACATACGCTATTGGCTGCTTTCCAATTTGCCGGTTGATTAACCACGAACAAATAACAATTGTCTCCGATTCGTGTGAAGTTCATTGCGCATGGTTTTTCTAAGTTTTCAAAAAGAAAGGTCATACAATGCATACAATTACATAAAGAAAGTTAACCCATTCATAGTTACCATATGTTTCCTTTTTATGTTCATTATTTCCAGCCATCAAATAGTAAACAAGTTGTTCGGTTTTGCGTAAGCGTCGCTCCATATAATCAACACGATACACCAATTTCTCGATGGCGCTCAGTAAATACAAATCCGTTTCGGATACTTCGGGACCATTTTGTGATATACGATTGTTAAAAAAATTATTTGGTCGACTGCCACTGTTGCTTGGACCATTGAAATTGAAATTTTGCTTCAAGGCTGCCGGTCCCAATGGCATGAGATTGTCCACACGTCGATTGAGATAGTTATTTGATGTGGGAATATATTTGTACGATGATTGTAATGCTCGAGCCTGCCGGGTTACATTTGAACTGCAAAAAAAGTACACATTATATTACACACGTTATATATAGTGTCCAATTTCATCTAGTTTCACGACGTTATTGGCCGTTGGAATTTTTCAGAAAAAAAAAAACACAAAAAACAATTATTTACTTAATTGTAAGCTCTTCGAGTAGAGGTGACCAAATTTCACTTGGATTGAATGAATCATGGGTATCACTTTCGCTTTCGTTGAGACTATCGATTGCAACGGCCGATGCAAGATTATTATTCAAACAATATACAATACAAACTAACATAATGCCAATCAATTTCCACGATCGAAGTGAATCCATAATTGAATTGCAAGACAGAACAACTATAACACAGTAAATGAATGAAAAAAATGACGAAATGTTCGTGTATCTTCTAATAAATTGCAAACTCGTCAAGCACACTGTCAAGATACATTTGGTACGATTAACACTTTCGTTTTTTTTGTCGTTGCTGGAAGAAAAGTGACGAACGTGAACAAAGACTTAAATCGTTGTGATCGCTGCACTGACGCAAAACGAAATAAACACATGCCGCACAAAATGTGAGCCATTGTGTGTGCGTGCGAACAATATATGCAACATAAATGGGAACGTAGATATTTACATTTTCTACATCGATTATGAGTGAATGATTATTAATTCGGTGTGCCGCATGAAATGCGTACCATAAAGACAATGCATCCGTAGAGGTGTTGTCAGAAAAAAAGAAAGAAGAAATAAGCAAATTGTACTTTTACCATGATACATACAACGAGACTCGGTGAAGCAATATTATTTAAGCAATAAGTGGAATTACCACATATTTTCTAACTCACACACAATCACCATCATCATATCATCGTCGTCGTAGTCGTCTTCGTCATCGAGAGCATTGATGGTCAACAAACAATACATGCAATGCGACATACAGCCCGCATATGAGATAAATACGGTGTGACTGGCATGGACGGAGAAAGTTTTTTTTTTTCACTTCTCTTCTTTTCACTCTTCATCAGATTGTCAGGGCCATTTTTTCCCCATTGTCGGTGCGATTCATCGGTGCTGGTTCATGACCACCATTGGTGGTGTTATGATTTATGTGCATGTTTTTCGAACATAAATCGTATCGAATTTCATTTTTGTGGGTCAACGCAAGAGCATTATCAAGTTCGTTGATTTCAAAGCATAGTGCACACTATTTGTTCTAGTGCTGGCGAAAAGAAAGAAACACTTAACCTTTCACAGCCGGATGTATTGTATGTGTGTATATGCGGGTTTTTTTCTGTGTGATATTTGTATACACAGATTGGCATTATGTAAATGAATCGTGCGGTTTGTTTGTATTTTACGTTTGCAGATTTGTAGGTCATTTGCCGAAAAGTGATATCGGCACTGATTCATCAGAAATTAGAAATTCCGCTAAAATGACTATTAAATACGACTGAAATAGAAATAAAACAACCATCTGTGTTTTTATCAATGAACAAGCTCGATGTATGCTTTTTTTATTTTGCTTTTATTCAAATAAATTTGCAAATAATAAACCGAAAGGAATAAATAATAAATCGATGCGATAATTTCATGATCATTTTTATCTCTTTCTCTCTCTCTATTTTTCTTAATTGATTTGTAGGCACGGCATTTGGAAGCTATCTAAAGCGCATATCTTTTTTTTCACACTCTCTATTCAAAGGATATATGTTATTTTAGTTTTTTATTTATGAATTTACATTCGTTGTATCGCTCTCTATCTCGCTCTTATTATCTATCATTAACTAAATGGTAATTATTTTGTTTAGCATTTCTCAATTGGAAGCAAACAATAATAACATTCGTTAAAAAAGCGTTTTACTTTATATACTTAGTAAATATAAGCGATAAATATTTCATTAAAGAAGCAACTGGTTAACATGTAACATGAATTTTCCTAGTTTGTTTGCGATGTTCGTGTACGAATTGGTATATCTTCTATCTATCTATCTATCTATGCTTACTGTTCTAATTGAATGTTTCGGTGTTTGGTCGTTGCCAGATGCTGTTGATTTTTGTTTTCAATGGTGAAAAATCAATTTTACGAAAACGTGCCCATGAACGAATCAAGCCATTGCTTGATCCATCGTTTGACATGTGGTAACTTTTATTGGAGCGCATAACGGTGTCGATGCTGCTATTGAGTTGATCATCTGGTGTCATTTCGGTTGGTGTTGATGGTGGTGTTTTCATGCGAATTGCCAAATTGGCACATTTATTATAAATACGGCGTGGTGATGATTTCAATTTAGTTGCTTTGGAATTTTTCTCGAAGTTTGCATGTCGATTCGGTTCGTATTTTGTATTCGGATCCAAATGTGAGAGTACGTTTTTCGAATCGAATGATGATGGTAATGTGTCGTATTTGTAACTTTCAGCCATTGTTTGATACGATTTCATGTCACAATACCAATTTTCATTTTTGTACGCAATTGCAGTTGGATGATGTTCAATATGGGTGCCATTATTTTCGGTAATTGAACCGCGGCGTTGTTTATACTTTTGTATTTTGCCTGATGTTGGTGTTTTCAATACACCTTTGCATGTTTGCTTCTTGACATTTTTAAAATGTCCCGAATTATTGCCGGCCTCATGATTGCTTTCCTTATTATTAAGTGGTATTGCAACTGGTTCGCTGGGTATGCGACGATTTGTTTTCGGTGTTTGTTTTACATTCTTAATACTATTATAAACGATGTATTTTATGGTATCATGTACGGGTGAAAACTTTTCATTCGGAAAGTATGATGGTGTTTTCTCATCAAATTTCGATGATTGAAAATTAAATGGATTTTCATTGATATGTTGAGATAATTTTGCACTTTGTGGTGGCGATTCGGTGTACGTTAATGATATTGCATCATCGTGTTCATGCGAATCAACGGTTGTATTGTTGGTGGTTTCCGGTGTAAAACATCTTGTATTTAACATTGCAGCATTACCATCGTAGCTGCTAACACCCGATGAGCTTGTGATATCGCTGAGCGATGATGAAGCATTATTTGAATTATCAACCGATTTCATTGAACTATCTAAAATCGATATGGGACGTTCTTCATCAAAATCAAATTGTCTTTCGAATGTTATATGTTTCAAGATGTTCGACGTTGATGTTGAGTCGGCATCGATTTTCAATATGGACGATTGATCGATTTTCGGTAAAATCGGTGCCATTGCACAATAAACGGATGCATTGTCAAATCCTTGATTCAATTTATTCAGTTGATCTTCTTCGAAATGTGTGGTTGATGTACGAATCATTTTAAATCGATCGGTATCATTTAGAATTGGCGCCATACGACAGTATCCGGAAATGTCACGACCCAAAAATGAATCACGATTGTTTACATTTGCTCCGACCAAATTTATGGCCGACGAGTCAACGGTTGATGTTAATGTAAGCGAAAGATTGTGAGACCAAAGTATATTGTCTGATATGTTTAATGGTGGTGGACGGCATGTGAATTGACTACTTGAACAATTCAGCGAATTGGAACGTTCGATATCCATAACATCTAAATCGGTTTCTTCACATTCACATTTGGTGGCCGATGTTGTTTTCTTCGGTTCGACGTTGATATTTGTTAGATCGGGCGTTGAAAAACTATTTGTACAGTTTACCAATAAGTTTGATTCAAAATTGTTTGAACACAATTTCGATATGGATGCTGCTGTTTGACTTTTTGGAACATCGTTTATTTTACCATTTTTCGATGTTTCTTTCGTACGGCCAAATACATTTTTCAAATTCCAAGCCGATTTACGGCTCTTGGAAGCTGCTGCTATTGCGACCGTTTGTGAATTGATCGACGTATAGACGTGATTGATTTGCCGTCGGGGAGGTAACGGTGGTGGTTGTTCAGCACTTTCATTTCTATTTTTACGAAAAAGAAAGCACCAATTATTCAGTATTCTCTTAGCCAACATTAAATATATACATTAATTGTAGATTTGTTCAGCACTTACATTTTGAGTGGCGCTGAAGACATATCAACATAAATTCCAGACACAACCGATCCACGTGATTCATGCTCATTTCTTCTAAAATACAAATCGAGTTTTTTCCAAAATTAATCCCAAAACCATTTATTGACGTGAACAAAAAAAAAACAAGCACAATGATAGAAACTTACACACTGACATCAGATGTATCCAAAATTTCTTCATAAATTCCGGAGCAACCAGAAGAACGTCGAACTGATAGCCGACTTGACATATCATGGTTAACTGGAATGTCAGGCAGTGGACCGAGTATATCATTCATATCACGATCAGTGAGTGTGTCATTAAGACTTCCTTTCGATATGTCGAACTGTGAATCATCTTCATCGTTAAACTTGACCACATTTATAAGTGAACGATTTATGCGTGGATTCTCACACATTCCTGTAAAAAATTTAGTTCGCATACAATTATTGTAACGGAAAACCCTCAACCCAAACCATAACAATAACTTAATCGTCAACAATAATAAACCCAAAACCAAATATAACTTTTGTTGTTGTGTATCGTAAATGAAATGTAAACAAAATTCAAAATATAAATACCTTTTCGGTAGTTTTCCAATGAATCAATGGATTGTTTCAGCCATTTCATGTGTGTTGAGCACGATTGTTTGTCTTGGAATGCCAAAAACAATCGACATCGCTTTCGATTGCTTTTCCAGAAAACGCCATACGTATAGGATTTTGTACGTGATGCTGCCGAACCGACTCGAACACCAGGTATATTGATCCGAATAACACTAATCGGATATTCACGAGAAACATCATCCTCATGATAGAATTCAATTTTCAAATAGCAAGGAAAACACTCGATCGCTTCAATTTTTACCAAGCATTTCATCCAGTTCACCCAATTCTATGAAGAAAAAAACAAGCACACACACACACACATACATAAATTGTCGAAAAATATTTAAAAAATATTTTTATTGATATTTTGTTTTCCAACTAAGGTCAATTTCACATCACAAAATATTATCGAAAACGTACCTTCAAAAAATTGTCGTTTCTTACGTCTTTAAAATCCAATTTAACATCAAGTAGCATTTCATGCGTTTTGGCCATTGCGAACAGAGACGCTTTTGAATATTTTCGATCCTTTCTTTGCGATTCAACTGAAATCGCTTATTTCAAATGACAAATACTTCTTAAATGTTCCATATTGATGTTTGTTTCGCAATAACTCTGTTCACCGTAAAAATTCCAACTACTTTTTTTTGTCGAATCACTTTTTTTTTATTGAATTGCTCTATAAGTGAGTTCACCACCATGTGTTTTTCTTGTTAATTTGATTCAATGTAAATGATTTTTTTGTCTCTTGTTGTTTGTGATCGGTAAAAATTCTTTCGAAAGATATAAATATTTTCGCTGAGGCAATTATTGTCACAAATTTCCCAACTATAAATTGAAGTACGATGATTCGCCGATGCACACAAAAAAAAATAAGATATGTAACGAACGAATAATAAAAATATAGAGCAAAACGAATGTGCCAACAACAACAATCTGCAACTGAAAGTCAACAAAACACGAACTCAACCAAAAAATCGATTGGCAGCTCTTTTTTTGTACTGTTTGCAATAAATTATGAAAACGGTTGCACACACCACACCCGATTCACGTGCCAAAAAAAACGGCAACTCCAATAACACTGCACTTTTATTAGCGAAGGAGTACGGAAAATAATATATTATTGTAAGTATATAGAAAAAAAGTGGATTTGCTCTGTTTATCTGTTTATACGTTATATATAGATGCGAGTGTTCAAAATACACGTGAGAATTCGACGCGCGCCTAAATTTTTGTGTATGGCTTGGTTACTTTGTGTACGCTCACCCTCTAAATTCACAGGAATCGAAGTGTTCACAGACACACCACTACAACCATAACTTTCAATGTATATTTTACACAGACAACAGGTTTGAATGCATCCATATATATATATGCGCCGGTACATGTGAACCACACTCACTCTCTCTCTCTCTCTTTTTGCTCTCTGTTTCTATGACTATGTCTCTGTGTCTGTTTCTACTGAAACATTGACATTGAATTTTTCGGTTGAACTTAAATGCACTCTTTCAACTAATAAATGCACATAATACGACACACTCCATCGATTATTACAATCATCGCACGAAAATAAAAACAACCGTCAAACGCTCGTAAAAATTATTGAACTCCTAATTGCAAAGATCACATGCAGTTATTTTTACGATGATTCGTTCATTCAACGTTAACTTGTTGTTGCTTTTTAGCGAATAAATTCCAATAAGGCGCAAAAAGAATTGTCGTTATTTCTGCAATGTGTTTTTAAACAAAATAACTTTTTATAACAGCGGTCTTGCTTTATTCACGTCTGTTTAACGACTGAAGAACGACAACCAGATCGCAACCAGTTAATGCATTGGCGGAAATTCCATCTCGATAAAATGTGTTTTATTGTTCGGCGAATATGATAAGAAGCACAACTGGTTCAACTGAATTTTATGAGAAATTTTGTGTTAACCAATGTGCGTCATTGATATCAATATTCGGCGAAAATTATATAAGTAAACAAAACAGTCATGGGTCAAAGGAATCACAAATAATTTGAATTGATGATTGCACACATCGTATTTGCTTTTGCACAATATTTTGGCCATTAAACGCATTCAATGTCTTGAAGAAACTGGAGTAGTTGGTGTGCATGCACACATACACGTGCATACAACACACAACTACATACAAGGAACAGATGTTTCTTGGATTTGCCTTTGTTATTGTTTTTCGTCGAAATCTTTGTCCCTATTGTTTGAGACTTTGCCGACGGCGTCATTTTTGTTTCATTCTCACTCTACCTTGTGTATGCCGATGCCGAATTTGAATCATTGTATTGTTAGAATGTGCGTAACGTTGCACGTTGTCTTTTCAAAACCACATGCTTCATGCTTAGTGAAAGCAAAATGTGATACAACAACACAGCATTGCCTTAGAATCGACTTTAACGCGGCAAATATCTTCTTTGAATCGAACAAGAATCCATGTAGAATGTTACATCTTGCATGTGGTCATTATTGGTCATTATGTATTGCACATAATAACACAATGCACATTTTCTTTTAGATTAAAACTAACAATGAGTTTTAATACGTTTTCATATTTTCTTGAAAATTTCACAAACTCTTCCTTTTTGGGAATCGAAGAAAATACACAAAACGAATCTTTCGAAAGATAAACATATTAAAAAGGACCTAGAAAAGGACGCAATGATGATGCCTTCGAATGACTTTTTTCTGCGTTTCAATTTTATGGGATTTTTTTTCTCACATCATAAAAATTGGACTTTTAACGACGATACAACAGTACAATGTATTCAGTTTTTTTAATAAAATGTGCGTTGATGTAATTTGATGGCGCATATTTAACGATAATGTTCGTAGAATTGTCTGATAGTATTCGCCTACCCGTTTATGTGACGACATAAATGACTCTATTTTCTCTAAATCTTTTAAAAGAGCATATCAGAGCACAATTGGACACCAGACGATAAATATTGATGAAAATAAAATGTAAACAGAGTTTTTTATATACGAATGAGAATAGGAGAATGAAATAAAATCAGTATTCAAGAAATTCATGATAACTGTGCTGTGTATTATTGAATAAAAAATTATATTATTGATAAGAATTTTTCATGACTTAAACAAAAATCAGGCACGACTAAACAATAACATAAAGTATCGATAGCAATTATTTATAGAAAACAGCCCCGTTTAAATATTTAATCTTCAATGGATATATTCGAACATTATTTTGCAATGTGCACTTTGATATTGCTATTTATTGTTTGCACATCATTGCAAATATTTTTTTGCGAGATTTTCACTTTTTTAACTACCAAAAGATATGTGGACTACTTTTTTCAAGTTTTTATCGTCAAATCAGATTATCAATTTGGTCAAAATATTTTGACATCACAGACACATTTTATTTATAGACTATTTAAAAAAATGTGTGATTCATTTCATAAGGCGCATTTCGAGAAGATCATCCGACAAAAGAAATATTCAATTGGGGGCTTCCGAATACATATTGTCCTATGCATGAATTGCAACACATGTACAATTGACGCAAAATACATGAACATGAACGGGACTGTACTGGGAATACCAAAATAAAACCAAAAGCATGAATAATACTCGAAGTGTAATCGCAAAATATATTATTTCAAAGCGGTTTTTGACGTAAACACTGACGAATATTATTCTGGTAAACCAATTGGTTTTGGTCATATTTATTTTCCATTCAGCATTATGACCAAAAGGTATTGACGACATTCAATCATGTCTTGTAATTGGATCTCTCGTTATATGTATCAATGGCATCAAACGTGGTCGGTGTGTGTCACACCAGATTTTATCGTCGAAAAATCATTTCCAAGTAGTTTTGTTGAAAGTTACAACTATTGAAAAAGACATTAAATTTTTAGACTGGACGCAATAAAAAAATCAGATATGATCTTTTTTCACTTTTACGAGCTACTTTTCCAAAAATTAAATTAATGACTAATAATAAAATTCAACTTTTCTTGAAAGAATGCAGCTTCGATAAAATACGAATTTGGTAAGAAACGATATTTGTCTTTGCAAAATGATAGAGAAAAAAAAAATATTCCAAGAACGAGTGGTTATAAGATCGAATCAGTGGTTTTGCTTATCAAATTTGAGTTTCAGGTGGTTCGGTAATTCACAAACCACTCTGATGATTAATAAAAAATTGTGTGATCGAAAACAACGTAATTATTTAATATTCTGCAGAAGAAGAGCGAACGATGTACTAGCTAAAATTTTATTATTATTATATTTTATGAAGCTAAGATTTCGAATTCAAAAGATCAAATACACGGATTCAAATCAAAACAGTGTGTCCATAACATATAGAAATAGCACTAAATAGTGTCGATATCTATACTATATCGGTGCACTATATATGGAAGATATTTCCGCAAGACACCGTAACTCACAATCGAAGTGAGTGCGAACGGCAAAAATATTGACGCATACACACAGTTCTTTCTACTGCCGTACGGCAACTTGTGATTTTTCCCGTCTACACTCACTTCGATCGTGCGATACGGTGCCGTGCGGCAATATCTTCCATATATAGTGGACCGATATAGTATAGATATCGACACTATTTAGTGCTATTTCTATATATTATGGACACACTGAATCAAAATGTTACAAAGTGGAATCTGGGATGAAAAAGGGGAGGTTTTTGTAATTTATACGTACAGGACCGTACAGGCCACTAGATTACTTGCTCTGATAAATAGAAATAGCATACAGCTTAAACGAAATTAGCTGGCGTCTTTTATGCTTATTTTATAATAAGATATGTCTTGGATTTTTCATCGCTGGTCCAAATCAACAAAATATTTGACAAATCATTGCCGGCAATTGTTAAGTAACAAATGCTGTCTTTAGAATAGTTGCTTCTGGACTTAATATGATATCTCCGATCGGGGTCCAGAAGTGACTGTCTATTGATTTGATTCGTAGGTAAATCAATTTATTCCGACCATATTTTTAACGCACTTTTATAAACATTTCCGACAAATGATTATGTGTATAAACGTGAGCCAAAAATACGCCCGAAATAGAGCCAAATCATGATTTGAGAAGAATTCGGTACAACGCTTTTTTCAGCTGAAAAAATAAATTATACTTATTTTCGCAAAAATATCACAATTTAAATGATGCGCCATTTTAAAATTAAAATGAATTACGTACAACGATGGCAACTCCGATGGTATGTGGCTCCATCGTCACATTACGACCGCAACCATGAATCGTGTGAACATCGTGCAAGCACGAAGATGAAAGAGGAAACAATAACAGAGACATTGTTAAAGAATGAGACAAAAGGGGGAATCGAAGCAAAATAAAAACAATTTCTGTATTTGACAGCTGTTTTTTTTCGTAATTTGTCGTGACAGATGATCAACTACCAATGCAAGTACTGTTGAGTAAGCGAGAAAGCCATACGGACAGTGAATATCTAGTGAATAATATTCGACGTAGATGCAAATACTGAAGATGTAAGTGAAAAAATATCATGTGTGTGATTGGAGCAGAAAAAGAACAGGAACAAAGTAAAAATATTTGCAGCACAGCGAGGTTGTACCACAACAAACAAAAACAATTGATTTCATTTTTTTTTTGCTCTCTTGGACGAACATGAAAAATGATTGTTTCGACGACGACCTAATAAAAGTTTGTATTAGTTATCAAAGACAATTTTATTGAGTAGAACGAGTGAAGAGAGCAAAAGAATTGATGTGAAAAAAGGAAACATTATTTGTTTGTGTAACTTGGCGATTCGACGTAATTAAAAAAAAATAGTTGGTCGCCAAATCGGCTGTATTGCCATTGATTCGTTGTGACAACACGCTTTTTTCCCCGATTTCATTGGATTTTCCGATTCGTCTGGTTTGGTTTTAATTAATTTAAGTGCATTTAATGGGTGTTCCGATGAACGTTTGATGAATACAAAGTGGAAAAACACGGATAAGTTAAATGTCAAAGTACGAAGTATTGGTCGTGAACATAGAACGGCGAAAAACTAAAAGAATTGATTTCGATAAGAGACTACCAACAGATTTTTTTCACCATATTTTAATTGAACATCCGGACGATGACATTTCTCTTTAATTTGACTGCAAATATATGCGCATGATGTGCAATTCATTTGTGATACTGATATCAGTATGAATAGGCATATGGTGAATCATTTTTAAATTAGTTCCATTCAATGTGCAATTGCATGAGACAGATTTGGTTTTGGATTCAAGTGAATAGGTAATTTCCTAAGACTAATTCGTTTTTAATTTAAAGTGCTCGCGTTTGGCGTGTGTATATGAAGTGGATAAACTTAAAACCTAATGAATTTCATCGTCGTAATGACCTTGCACGCGTTCAAAATCATTACGACTCAAAAACTATAAGATTACTAAATTTTTCTTATCCAACATGTTTATCTATCAATGAATGTACAGTGAACATTTTGTTTTCTGTTTCACAAAAATGTCCGAATCTACGATCGATTCAAGGGCAGAGAGAAAACCTAGGAGAGATTTTGTTTGTTGTGTATGTTTTGTCGCTTGTGTCGATTACATTACTTACTTTCGGTGCGTGTGACGTCATGGCACCTGTTAGAAATTCTTTGTTGAATTTTTCGACACGCAACATTTTTTTTGAAAAATCATTTTCAATGTGTCTCTTTTCCATCATTTATTATCGATCGGAATGGGTTCAAAGTGAAATTTAAATCTAGTGCAAAGTTTTGATAAATTTTTGCGATTGCTAATCACAACGCTGATAAGAATAAACATTTTCTAAAGAAAACTCGCATCTCTACTAACATGATATGATTAGCATATTTAGCTAGGTTTTATTTGGCTTCCTAAAAGTTAAAAGCGACAGTAAAAATTATCGCATTGAGAAAATGAATCGTGATCCATTGAACAGTTCTTTTTTATTAATGTGAAGTGATATTGTGTTGGCGATTTAATTTATATTTTTTTTGCTGTCGTTCATTTTGACATAAGTTAAACACTTCACACATATCGTGACGTCGTGTGTCTATATAAAATTGCTTATTTTGTATGTGAATCTTTGTCAAGTATTTAATGGAACATAGAATAACACAACAAGTCAGATTAATGACAATAAAGAGCATCTACACATCCAAACAAATGTTCGAACGGTATACATGTATTTTGAGATTTTTTCGTATTTATTTTCATGTTGTACAATATTCACTGTTCATTCGAGCCATTGCAGCGACACTCTTTGTTTATATAAATAATTTTATCATCAAACACAATTCACATACTAATTCAGCCAATGGGGATTTTCTTTTGCGAAAAAAATTAAATTTCGATTTTTTATAAAATTGAATCACATATGTTGGTGAATTGAGCATTCAATCAATTGTCCCAAAATAAATTGCGTTCGTCATTGGCTTCCTTTCCATACAAATGCTAATCGACGAAAATCACAAATCAATAGACTGTTGACTACACTTCATTTTGCTCATTAATAGTTTTGGTACGAAAATAGTCTATCAATGACTAATTTCATTTGCAAACAGGTTAGTTTCAATTTACTACACATGCGATTGTGGCTTGACAAAAAAAAAACACAGTAAGTGAGAGGTCACTTAAAAACGTTCTCATCATTTTCAAAAATTCTCGACGTTTCTTGGAACATTCTCTAAAGGCTCCCCCGTGATCCATACACAAATAATATTGTTTGCTGACAAAAAAAATCGATAGTACTTATCGAAATGAGCCTTGCGAATTACATTGCCAAAGTGCTCCCTTGACATTGTAGTGAGACAAAATGAGCTATTTCTGAATTATGATGGAATGCGTCACGATAAATCAATTTGTTTGTTTTTATTTCTACAATGTTAAAAAGTGTCGCAGTAAGAGAGATATAGAAAGATAGGGAGAGCGTAGTTATCAAATGAAAATAAAATACACATTCAAACGAAATTTCAATGTTCACTTGATGCAAGTGGTCAACACAAGTGGATGTATAGCGATTCGATTTAGTTTATCAATTCAAATTCTCAGCTTTTTATTGTTATATTTACAATGGGTTCATTTTAGGAAAGGAAAAAAATAACATTTGCCAAAATGAACTTGTTTACTTTTGTCGTGTGCGTTTTGTCTTCGTTTTCATCACGTAGCGCAATGTATTCACATTGAAATCAGTTTGCGTAGCCCTATCAATTGAGATCGCAGATGTATTTTGGAATATGACGAAAAGTAGTGCTAACAATTAACGATGAATTAAGAAAATATGAATTTGAATTGTTTTAGGTTGATTGATAATGTATTTTGCCATTTAAGTATGTAAATGTATATATGATTTTCTAATTGTTTCAGTATTTGAAGTGAAGGCAGCTTTTTTTCCGATCCGATTGTAATATGCAATGTGAACGACAGGATCACACAATTGGAACTTCAATTTAGAAGCTGTGTAATCAATTCAAGCATATCTCAGAGAGAGAAAACCTAGTTTAAAGAAAATCAAATGATCGACGGTCGTGCATCGTTTCCATTGTAAATGAAATAACAACATATTGCAGTTATAACCACATTTAGATATTGTTTATGATTGACCAACACAACTGCAATGCATCGAATCATTTCGTCGTTGGCTTTAACATTTATAGTGTTTGTGCAAACAACCAAGTCAGATATACTGGTTTATTCGCAATATTCGAATCAGGTAAGAGGGCCTTGGACTCAAATCAAATTCGACAATTGTGATTTAAAAAAAATGGTATAACAATGGTTTTTGATAAACAGGTTATTGAGGAATTTCACGATTTGCCATCCAGATTTGGAACAGCGTTTCCGATCAATGGATTACGAGCTTTAGCAATCTATTCAAATCCACCAAATGCATGCTCACCTATTAATTCTCCGCCACAAAATTTTACAAAAGCAAAATGGGTCGTTCTCATTTCTCGGTTAGTAAATCATTTTATTGCTGCATTCTTCGCAAAAAATCTTTTTCGTAATCTCAACGATAATTGAATTGTTATGTTGTTGTTGTTTTTTTTCAGTGGAAATTGCTCATTTGAGTTAAAAGTGCGAAATGCTCAGGCGGCTGGCTTCGCGGCTGCCATTGTTCACAATATCAACGGCGATGAGCTTGGTAAATATAAAATAGATTTTATTTACATTTTAATTTGAATCAATCAACAAAATCAAAATATTGACTGTTGTTTTTTATTTGTTCATTTAGAACCAATGTCTGCAAACAATGACGACGGAATCGATATCCCGTCGATGTTTGTTGGAGAAACGACCGGCAAAATAATAATGGTCAATTACTTATATGATGACGGATTTACACTCTTGCTGAACGATGACCTCCCATTCAATATAAACACTCATTTAATTGTTCCATTTGCTATATTCGTTGCACTGTGTTTCATTGTTATGATTGGCATCATGATAACAAAGTGTTTGCGCGAACAACGGCGACTACGACGACATCGGCTGCCTGGTTCGGCGCTCAAGAAAATTCCGATCATTCGCTTCTCGAAGGAAGAGCACATGTCAACCTATGAAATTTGTGCCATTTGCATTGAGGACTATGTGGACGGCGATCGATTGCGCGTTTTACCGTGTTCCCATGGTGAGTTTGAATTTGCTGTGTTTTTAAGTTCAAAAATGTACTTTTTCCCAATTTTTTTTCAAATCGATAATTTTTACTTCTTTTTACCCGCATTAAAATGACTGGTTATGTGAATTACGTTCAGATATAAATGTGATATGCGAAAATCTGTTTTTATCTTTTTAATTTCTACATTTCTGTCGATTTCGAAATTGCCCCCGTTCTATTTTTTTCGAAATTCAAGAATTATTTTTAATTCTTTTGGTTATATTATCATTTAATGCGATTGCTTTCTTCAAGCCTTTATAACTTATTAAAATTTAAAATAAAAAATATGTTATCTATTTGCAGCTTATCACAATAAGTGCATTGATCCTTGGCTAACAAAGAATCGTCGAGTGTGTCCGATTTGTAAAAGAAAGGTGTTTGCCCGTGGTGAGCCCAGGCGACGCCGACGTTCAACAGATGATAGTATGAGCGATTCGGATCAAGACGATACAACACCTTTGATCAATCCCGTTGATAATTCAAACACTCATGGTACCTTCAGTCCAACAGCACCGCCATCGGACGAAGTTACATGTAAGTGTTGATTGCATTTGTAGAATAAACTGAAATAATGTCAATCGACTAATGAAAATCAATTATAATTTTTAGCGGAAGGAAATAATCGTCGTATGAATCCATTTGACCGGCAAACAAATGTGAATATTCCAAATGCAGATGTCATTGATTCGGAGACAATTTGGTCGAAAATACTGAGGTATTATAAATTGTTTGATATATTAAAATTGTTCAGTGTCTAATTTGAATTTTGCTTTATTCACAGAGTTTTTCATGTACGTAGTGATAATGAAGACAATAGCCAAACTATGGATGGAAATCAAGTGATCAATGATGAAGAAGTTGGAAACATATTGTCGCAATCTCAGTCGAATGACGCGCCAATCGCATCTTACGGTTCATCAAGTAGCAATAATGTATTGAATACGAATTTAAGTGGTTCAATGCAAAATCGATTCAATCGTAACCGTAACCGACGCGCCATCATAAATGCCGACAACAGTGACGATGACGATGCAATTACTGGAAGTGTTTATCATGAATGTTATGAGCAAAATCAGACAATTTTTGCGCCAATCTCAACGTCACAGCCAATTATTAATCCATTCGATCAACAAGTGCCGATTCAAACAAATGCCGGACCAAGTACGTCATCGCATCAGCGAATTGCAGTGGCCGCATTACCAAATCTAGAATATGATCAATTTACAAGAGGCTTTTCAGCTTCATCACCATCACTATATTCACAGCAAGAATCGATCAATGAATCGAGCAGCCGACGAAATTCGAACGGTTCCGATCAACGACGAACTGATTTTACACGAAATTCAACCGCCTCGAGCAGTAACTATTTTGTGTAAACAAACATCAAATGGCTTTGATTCTTTTTTTTATGTTCGATCGTTCGTAGTGTTCAAGAGTGATCTATGCTGCGACTTTGATTTTTATTCGGGACGAAAAATAATTAAACGTTGTAAATTTACATATATATTTTTTTTGTTGCTTTCAAATCTATGACATATTGGAATGAATGCAGAGTTTGTATTTCTCTTTTTTTTCTACATTAGTTGTTTGAATGTGATTTACATAATAATAGAAAAATTTGAATGAGGAATGTGGTTTATGGAAGTGAAATGAAATTTAGAAGAATTTAGAAAAACTATCCAATGTTAAAAAAATAAAATGTTCATCGCTCGCCAAGTTCCAAATTACAATATGGAAATAAAAATAGTATCTGTATAAGTAACGCTAACCAAAAAAAAAACACCTATCAATGTCAATTTATGTTGTTGGAGATAAACTTTCCCCCGAAGGGGTAAAACAGTTTTTTATCCTGAATAAACACCGATTTTTAGAGAAAAACTGTTTCACCTCCAGGGGAGGTTAATTTCTCACCAAGACCATAGATTGACCACTATAAAACTCTATGTTTAATCATAAAAACAAGTATGAATGATAAGATTTTGCGAGTGACATTTTCCGCACTAAACAAATATCCAATAGAACAAATAGCACCGAGATATTGCCATTCTGTCATTCAGGGTTTCATTTCACTAATTTCATGTTCAGACAGTGTCTTGAAATGTTCATACATTGAAGTCTTCTTAAATTAGACAGTTGAAACAAACTATGTTCAATGATAAAATGGAAAACAATTAGTCTTTTACAAAATCTAATATAAATTTAATTACCAAAACAAAATAAAACCACAACAAAAAATAAGCCGAAAAGTCAAAGACCTCTCTATAGAGACGGTGCGGGATGACAATAGCGATTTTATGTCTTTTCGATAATATATTATAAGGAGAGATTTCATTTTTGTTACTTTATAAGTGATACATACACAAATGCTATTTACTTTAATTGATTTAACTATATAACTGATGGAAATTATTAGGCTTTTTAATCGAAGAAGCATTAATAAAATTGAAAACAATTCTATTCGAAAAAATTGAATGTGTTGCTAATTACTTTAAAGTTTGGGGCGATTGCATTTGATTCATGAAATAACAAAAAAATACACATCCATATTTTCTGATTTATTTATGTACTTTTTTTTAATCATTAAAATGGACAACAAACAAATTGTTCATGCGATTTGAAATACATATAAATATATACAATTTAACCTTTTATATTTTAAGATTTGATAACTCCATCAAATAGTTATTTTTTCGTTTATCAAATTTCTCCAGAAATTCAGTGGCACCCTGACTGAAAGTGTCCACTTTTGTGCTTGTTTCGGTTTCCATTGTTTGTCGCATTTGTTGAAGATCGTTTGGAAGTGTTCCATCGGCTATGAAATTCGAGAAATGATGCATCGACTGTTTTACACTGTTCATTTTTTGATAGTGCCGTTGATAGTAGATCATACCGCCCAAAAAATGCCAAAATGTGAATTCGGGCCAAAGTGTTTTGGTAAAGTAAACTATTGAGGTTGACGCCTGAAAAAAGAAAACAAATGGATTTTTGATTAATATGAAACATCTGATTCAAATGACGATGCGATCGAAAGTTGAAATGTAAGCGTTAATAAGAAAATTGAAACTCCTACCTGCCACAGTAAAAAGTCTGACAAACGTGATTCTCCTGAAGTGCGAACTAACAAATCTGGATCGGTGCATTTGTCACTGTACATGCATCGTCGTATCAAATTATCGGTAATATCATTTGGTTCTAGTTCGTTTCGTTTAACACCGTCAACAATTTCTCGTATCGATTCGGTGATTTCATCGCGAGACGTATATGCGATTGCCACATTTAAAAATGATTTATTGTTATGTTTCGTTAGTAGCATTACATCGGCCATGCACTTTTGTAGATCAAGTGGCAATAATTTCCAATTGCCAATCATTCGAATGCAAACACCACGTTTGTTAAGCTCATCTTTTTCTTCCATAAATTTTCGAAATTTTTCACGTGCCAATTCCAAGAGAGCATTCACTTCGTCGTCGCTTCGTTTGAAATTTTCAATGCTAAATGCATAGACTGTTACTTCTGCGATGCCAATGTCTAAGCACCATTGCAGCGCCTCAGCAAGCTTATCAAAGCCATGAATGTGACCGTCTGAGCTCGCATTCAAATGTAATTTCTTCGCATAACGACGATTGCCATCCATTATGAATGCCACATGACGTGGAATTTTGCCCGTTTTTATCACATTGAGCGCAAATTTCTGCGCCCAATTCAAACTATTGTCACGCATCCACGACATTTCAATTTGATAAATTATAATACGGTGGCAACAACGAGGAATGTTTTAATGGAGAATCACAATATCGCAAACAGTGTAATGACGTCTACTGAATATGTCCACGTCGAGTACTCATAAACTCACTGGCAGGAGAAAAAAAAAAGTTATTAGATTAGAAGAAATGCTGAATGAATATTTCACTTACCGCCCGAATATATAAAAGAATTTCAATTTAATTCTATGATTTTCATCATCCAAGTTTGTTTCTCAATTTTTTTTCCTAGTATAGAGTTTATAATCAATTAACACTAATATGTGGACAAGAAACAATTATAGTCTAATATTGCTCCTTCACTGCAATCGAAACAAAATTTAGTTCGTGAGTAAAGTGATAAGACAAAGTGTTACGACAGCTTGAATTGATCAGTTTCTATTCGATTTTAATTTATCTTCCCTATTATTTATCGTCGTGACATTTGTTTAACGTCGTGGTCTTGTGATCTGACGTTTCAATTTGAACGTTTTCAGTTCAGTGAATTGGATTTATATGCGTGCGTGTGTGCATGTATGTGTGTGTGTGTCTGATGCTCCATTTCATTGCATGTCAAATTCACAGATTCAAATATTAAGTAAAATGTGTTGTTGAACATAACCGTTTGAAATCATAACATGATTTTTAATTCATTATTTGGATATTTCAAATAAATAAGATGCGATAAATTTTGAAATAGTAGTCCATCTTACCATTTAAAGAGAGAATAAGCCCAAGGAGTAGACACGATTTAGTGACATACAAAGATTCAAAATGTTGCTAAAAAATTACTCAGTTAGAATTACAAAGATCTACAAAGATTTGAAAAGATCTAAATTGTTTCGGAATGAGTTACATTGATTCGACTATATTTTGATTCCGCCGTTTTGATTTTTTCTGACACTGAAAGATTCACAAAGATTCAAATTTATCAAGAATGTGATGGAAGATCTTTGGGAATTTTTGATTTAAAAAGATTCATAAAGATTTAAAATATCTACAAGGTGGTGTCTACCCCCTAGGAATAAGCACAGCAAATATCGCAAGTGCCGGACCACCAACCCCATTAACTGATGTTAACGTTGATGCTAAACAAATCTCCAATGAGACCGTTAATCATTTCGGACAATTGGATATCCTAATAAACAATGCCGGTATAATGGTCTCGCATTCTGATGAAACTCAATCTGCAGGAATGATTCGGACACCGTAAATATTTATACATATTACAATATTTCGTTGAGACATTTTTGGAAAATATTTTTTAAATTATTTCTAGAATATTCCAAACTGGTTGGGCAACGAATTCGACGAGCAAACTGTTGAACAAATCATCAGTAGTCAAAATTTAAATATAGAAGAGAGATACAATATACTGAACTAACTGGCCAGCTGTGATTCATTATTATAGCATTGTTTTAGCCCATTTAGCTGGCTAACGAACTGTCAGCTTAGCTGGCCAGTTAGTTCAGTATATTGTCTGAGAAGAGATTATGTGTCATAAATGAACTTGTTACATAAATACCTTGTACATATTTCTTGGTCATTTGAGTAATGTTCAACGTATCACACAAGTTCTTGTGCAAAAGAAAAAAAAAATACATTTTTGTTTATTCAATTCAATAGATGTATTCAAAGCTTTATTGAAACTGTATAGTATGAATCGTAAAAAAAAACAAATAAAATAACAAAAACTAAATTTATTCAAATGCATTCCAATCACATGAAGATTCTCGTTTCATTTCGATAAATTCAAATTCGGTCTGTTTCATCGCCCATTTTGTAGGCAAATAAACTCTTTCCGCGACGTAGATCGTTATCTTGCGCGCTCCAACTAATTTCTCACGCTCTTTATTCAATGCAATTAAATCAAGTACCTTATTTTGAGTACCAGAACGTAGTCCAGTCGAATACCCTTTAATTTTCATTTTGTTCAAATTCTTTGCGTGACAAATAAATGGTAAAATGTCATCATAATTAGTCGTTGTAAGAAGAATGCGTTTGAGTTTCGGGAGCGTATGCGGAATTAACTTCCAATCAGTGATATACCTACTGTCGTCGAGATATAGTTCTTCCAAATTTATCAAACAACCAAGTTTGTAAATATTATAATAACAATTAAGTCCGTCATGAAGTCTTACCAAACCTTTTACTGAAGCCAATTGAACGATATTTTCTTGTAGAAGTAAGGAATTGTGAAAAAAAAGTTTCTTATAAAATCCACGATCGTAGAACTCATTAAACAAAGGGCAAAATGATTGGAGCTCATTTTTGTCACTATCATAATAATAAATTGCCAATGTATCAATTTTCATGTTTGATTTTTTGAACAACTCTCTATTTGACCAAAATTGTTTCATATTGACCGAAAATTGCTTAATTGTTGTGTTTAGCTCAAAAATTTTTATTAATTCTGGTATTTCTTCCTGATCGAAGAATCTTAATTTAACATGTTCCAATGCTGGGTAGATTCGACACATCCATTTGTAATCTTTTCTTCGGGATGATGATCTGTCTATAGATAAATATTTAACATTTGAACAAGCAGCAAGCAATTCGGCAGTTACATTTTTATCCATATATCTATAACGTATAGTTAGTCGATCAACTTTACTGAGAACCACTTTCATTTTGTTAATCCAAGACATTTTTAAAATTTCACTACCAATTTTGATTCTCCTAATTGATGTTAAATATTTCAAAGGAGTTACAAAACGTGAAGAATTCTCGGTATCGCTGTCATCAGACTCATCTTCTTCTTTATGGCAGTTATTATAAACCCAGATTTTTTGTAAGAAATTGCTGAAACAATCTATATTGATATAGGCGTCCGAGTAAAGCTCAAACCTATATCCTTGAAATCGTGCTCGTGCGGCTCCATAGTTTTGTTGGAAACAATGTCCAGCAATTGATTGCATTCTCTTACATGTTTGTCCCATTGCTGCTAAATCCTTCAACGATAAAAGGTCGAACACTTCTTCGAAACAATGGATGTTAAGTTTGAAAATATCAGCCAATTGTTGTTCACCGTTTACATCAACAACAGCACCATTCTCTTCATCATTCGATTTTGGCCTCTTGGCACTTGGCCCACTTTTATCGGCGTTTTGTTGTTGGCTCATTACATCTGCTTTATCGGTCAATTGATTGCATGAAATAAAAAAAGTTCATTTAATACACGAAATAACTTTTAAAGAATTAAAATCAGTGCAGGGAATTGATCATTTATTATTTATCTTCGTGACATTTGTGTAACGTCTTGTTCTTGTGATCTGACGTTTCACTTTGAACGTTTTCAGTTCAGTGAATCGGATTTATGTGCGTACGTGTGTGCATGTATGTGTGTGTCTGATGCTCCATTTCATTACATGTCAAATTCACAGTTCGTCTTCACAGCACTGTTCATTCGCAATTCAAGACTTGAAGCGGAAACATGTACCATGCGTAATTGATGTTGATTTTACAAATCGAATGTTTTCATCGACCAAAAAAATAAATTGTAAACATTTTTGTTTCAATCGCCAAAATAAATGCAATCATAATGTTTTTATGAAATTATTTCGATGTACGATTGTTTCGTTGATGGAGGAAAATTTGTTTTTCTCCAATTTTTCACAGGTGATTTTATTGCTCAGTTATCATTAGCCGGCAGCTGTTTTCCATCGTAGGTCAAATTTTACGAATGAAAAATGCACAATGAAAAACATAAATAAAACTTGAAAGCATGTGAATGTTTGATAACAAATAGCAGCATCAAATGTCTACTCTTTTTCCATTGCATGTGAAAGAAAATTGTGTGCGGCGTCTCCATTTGTATTTCAATTCCGAATAATACGGGTATTTCATTCAATGCATTTCACTCAAACCAATGGCATGATGCACGACACAACATACACTCATCACACTCTACCTCACACTGGATTTACCCGTCTGCCTGTGAGTTCATTGTGTAATACAAGACACTCTGTCGTATAATATACACACATATATCCTACGTACATATGTATATATATATATATATTCATTCTAAAGCGAATACACACAACTCGAGCCAGTCAAACATATCGTCTGTGTATCGCGCACAGTTTTACCATTCTGTTTCTCTCTACCTCACAATCTATTCATTCTGTGTATAGCCCGAGAAAAATGAACACATACAATACGTACGACTTAAATGGCGTTTTACACAGCATAGCACACAACGAGAGCTGCTGAATCGTCGAAGCAAAGGAAAGTGAAGTGTTCAAAGTTAGTAGCAGCAGCAGAGAAGCAGCACAAAAAATAATCGTAATAAAATAAAATTTTCTACTTTACTTGCGTCTAAATGTTTGAAATAATATTTTAGTTTGCATTAAAGTGAATAAATTTTGGTTGAATATTTAATGGTGAAGTGATTGAAATACAAAAAATTGAACATATAGTGAACAAATAAAATGGATAATCGTGCAATCGAAAATAATATTGTGGCAGGTATGTGTGTTGTTCGTTGTATGACGGCCATCATTATTGTGAAAAATGAATTTGGTTTTTTGTGTCGTATGGCACATTTTCTGTGCATTTTTTCATTGAAATTACCACAAAATTCATTAATTCAATTATTTAACTGAATTTTGATTGCAGAATTGTACTTCCTTATTTCGAAATTTCTGGCAAATGGACCATTTAAGCATGTTGGCGAGGTAACAAAAAAAAGCTCTATACTTTCATTCTATGGAAAAACGAACGCTACATCGTTTTGGCCACTTTTTTAATCTCTAATTTTTCGCATTTTTTTCCCAATAATTTAGGTTCTTATTGCTGAAATTGAAAAACAGAAGGTAAGCATTATTCAAAATTACACGTTGTTCGATATTTATTAGGCGAAATTTTCATACAGTGGCTTTCGGCCGAACCGAATATTTTGTACATATTTTGTTGCCTTTCTCGTAAGTTTTTAAACAAAACCGCCAAAAAGTGTCTTTTCTTTTGGCCAATTTTTTTTTAAGTGCCAATGTGTTGAATTTAAAAGTGAACAAATTTCGTGAAAATAATGTGAATGATGAAATTGATCGGTGATTGATTTGCATAGTTAATTGAATATTTGTATCACATGTTATAAAAAATCGCGCGATTATCCGGCACGTGCTTAACATTCCTGTCAAAACAAAACAATTTTTGTTTATACACCGACAACAAAAAGATTTATTTTTTTCGAAAAAGAATTGTTCTCGCAAAACAAAGTGGTTCTCGTAAAATACATGAGCTACTTCGTTGTTGGCTCCGATGAATGTACGGCCAAAGACAATTTTCTTAATAATATCAATTCAATGCAAAAAATAGACCGCATTCAAAACAACATCAATTGAGCACATTTTACTAATCAACAATAAACAAAAAGTTCCTTGACCTCGGTTCATTTTGTCTCTTATGATTGAATTTAATGCTGGATTTCATTGAACATTGCATAATTTTTGATTGAAGATGAATCCGTTTCAATGCCATCGCAATAAATGAAGAGAAGAAAAAATCGGCGGAAAATGTTTATATCCTTTGGAATTTTCATTTGTTGTTGTTTTTCTTCGACAGATATTGCCACCGCGAATAGACTGGGAAGGTACATCACATGAACAGACATACAGTGAATTGGTAAGTTTTTGCATGTTTTTCATTCTTTTTTTTCAAATTTCATTCTTGGATATAATATGTTGATGTAAAAACATGTACGTAAAAAGAAAATAAAACTCGGCCAAAGAGAAAATGTGCCAATCACGCGAAAATTGCATCACAATAGTGCATTTTCATGTACGCGTATGTAGTACCATTTTTTCATTACGTGTCTCTCTCATTCAATATGTTGAAAATGCGTTTGAAATCACGAAAAAAGCCGGCTGTTAGAAATACCATAGCAGAAAAAGTCAATCAAACACTGCATTTTCTGGATTTCACATGAATCAGTGTCCTTTTTGTTCATAATTTTTTTTTTGCTACACTTTGAACAATGGCAGCCATATTGATGGTATGCGTTGCTGTTGCTGCCGTTCTTAAGCACACACAAAGCAAATGCACAAACGAAACCAAAACTACCTAAAATACGATATTTTCACGCCGTACTAGCCTGATAAAGTATGTTTTGGCATGTTTTTTTTTGTTTTTGTTTACGTTTTTCTTGAAATCGACGATCAGATGTTTTGTTGGAAATTCAGTGTCATTTCATAAGAAAAAAATCAACAGTGTTTTCACATTTGCATGTGGACAACAGCAATAAAAAAAATCTCAATGAAGTTTAAAAGATAATTTGTAATTCGATTACAAAGGTTTTAAAATTGCATAGCATTGCATCACATATTTTGGTTATTTGGACATTGAATATTTGATAACGGGACTCGAATAGCCGAAGGCACGTCGCGTGTAATGTGTGCTACACAGTTACCGATAGCGTTTCATTTGAAGCCAAATAGAGAGGCGCGTTCCCGTGCATGCCGAGTCACAATGAATTTCTGGCGGTTGCCGGGGAATTGCACTATAGAAAGTGAAATTAGATGAACATTTTTTTGTTGTTGTATAAAGCATCCTTGCTGATATCAGCGAAATATATTATGAAAGGTCATTGTTTGGCATAGTTTTGTCTGTTGTTGTTGTTGTTTCCTAGAATTGTGAAATTCTTCGTACACATTGAATGCGTTATTTTCAAATTGCAATCGTCTCGCCACAACATTTTTTCCCAATTCCATATGATTCAATAATTTACCAAAAAAAATTGTTGCACACATTATAATTTTTCATTTAAATATCAATTTGATGTATATAGAAAGTGAATATTGACATTTAGACTTGTGACGCAGCCATCTTTGTAGTATTACATTGAGTACGTACTGTGTGTGCAGGTGGCGAATGAGATTTTTTCTATTGTTTGAATAATTTCATTTTTTTGGCATTTTTGCAATTTTATCATTATTTATGCATAAAAATGCAATTAATTAATTGATTTATTGGAATTTATTGCAATTTTGGCGAAATATCGAAAAAAATCCGAAAAAAATATTTTAACATTTTTTTTGCATTTTCGAAAAGTGCCAAAAATTCTGATTAAAAAAATATCATTCTCGAAATTTTTCGCGAAAATAATTATTTTCGATAATTTTTCATGTTTGATATTAAATTTCGTTGAAAATGAAAAAATTCATTGTCGGCCATGATGGAGAGAGCTGATTCAGTTGCTGTGCTAAGAATAGAGTCGTTGCCAGAATGAGACGAATAGTTGATGTTCATGTTAATTTACTTGGTTCACAATGTGAACGCTAGAGCGAGAGAGATACATAGACAGTTCCTGTGGTAACTGTGATCATTTTAGGGTCGTGTTGAATGTATGCGTGCGGCCTCAATGTACTGCTCTCTTTTCACTACAAAGGAAATGACAAAGAAGAGGAGAAGTTTCACATACAATTCATATACACACATACACGCGCTTTTCATCTACACAAAGCAAGAAAAGACGATACATTCAAAATGCTCTCTGCTATGATATTGTTTACGTTTCGATAGAACATACGTTGAATGTGATTTCATTGTATGGTTCGCAATAAGGCACACTATAAAAATGAATATATGCTCTATTATGTTATTATGCGAACAGAAACAAAAGCGAATATTTACAATGAAACATGAAATTATATGCGAACCAATGGTACTTTGAACTCAATCGAAATGAATATGCTTGTTTTTATATTATATATTGAAAATCATATCGAAATGCTTAACGACATTTTCTTAATGTTTGAAATAAAAAAAATATCAAAATAGGAACGAAAATATGCTCACATCGGACCAAATCATTTGCTTGAGGTATGCGCCAGAATCACAACACTCTTGGAGAAGCAGATTCCGCCGAGTGTGGCCGGCATTCATACATTATTGGGTGCTGGTCGTCAGAGTGTTTTGAGATCAGACGAAAATTGCTCGAGGCAAAAATCGTTAGTCGACTACTGTACACGAATGCATTCGATGCCGTTACTCGATTCAAACCGAAAATTGACACATAATCTAGGTAAGTCTGATACTTTTCATATCTCTTGCATACAAAACGAGAGCACCCAGTACCAAATTACAGGCATAACCATTTCTTTAATCGTTTTGATTCATTTACAGTTAAAGTTTTGTACGGACGTGAATCGTCTGGACCATGCACTCGAAAATTAGCAATAACAAATCAGTTTTATAGTAAAGCACAGTTACAACGCCGAACGCTGGGTCATTTGTCAGCTGTGTACTGTGTCTTATTCGATCGAACCGGAAAATACATAATAACCGGTGCCGATGATCTACTCGTCAAAGTATGGAGTGCAATTGATGGTCGACTATTGTGCACATTTCGTGGTGCATCGGCCGAAATTACAGACATTGCTGTGAATTTGGATAATACTCTGTTGGCAGCCGGTTCATTGGATCACATTGTACGTGTATGGGATATGCAAACAGCAAGTCCGGTTGCCGTTCTTTGCAGTCACACCGGTCGAATAACATCGGTCAATTTTTGTCCATCGCCAAAGGATTATCAAAAATATCTCGTCACAACAAGTACAGACGGTTCAGTTGCATTTTTTCAATACACCACATCACGAGATGGAAAAGTACAATTTGCGTAAGTATTATTAGGAGTATTGTGTAATGTGTATGACCTCAATTTCACATTGTTTTCAAATGTTCAAACAATTTTCATAATATTCAATAATTTAATAGATCAAAACCAACACAATATCATGAAAAAATGCGGCCGGGTCAGGCGCAAATGATTTATGCTGCCTTTTCACCAGGAGGTCACTTTTTGGCGGCCGGTTCAGCCGATCACAATGTACGCGTTTACCAAATGGCTGACGAAGGGCCAAAACGAATTTTAGAGGTCGAAGCACACAGTGACACAGTCGATTCAATTCAATGGGCACACAATAGTCTCCGTTTCGTATCTGGCAGCAAAGATGGCACGGCACTTGTATGGCATTTTGAGACCCAAGATTGGAAATCAATGCGATTGGAAATGACAAAAAAATTGCCCACATGCCCAGCAACAATTTCCACAGAGAAAGATAAAAAGCTAAGCGTTACAATGGTCGGATGGGATTTAACTGATCAATATGTTATCACTGCGGTTAATGATTATACGGTAATGCTCAACGAAATCTTTTGAATCGTTTTGTTTTTCTATAATTCGATTTTGATCTCTTTAAACATCATATTCAATTCGGTTTTTTTCATGTGCAGATAAAAGTGTGGAATGCGGATACTGGACAATTGCATCGCGTAATGCGTGGCCACACCGATGAATTGTACGTGTTGGAATCTCACCCGAAAGATCCGCACATTTTGTTATCGGCCGGACATGATGGAAAGTTATTCATATGGGATGTAAAAGAAGGTGTATCGCTTGCCAATTTTTCCAATTTAATCGATGGCCAAGGACATGGTGGCCTGTATGACGCAAAATGGTCACCGGATGGTACGATAATTGCAGCAACCGACTCACATGGCCATGTGTTGATGTATGGTTTTGGTGATGGGCACAAAAGACTGAAGGAGTTACCGCCCGAATTGTTCTTCCACACGGATTATCGACCTCTCATTCGTGATAGTAATCACTTTGTGTTGGATGAACAAACACAAACAGCTCCACATCTGATGCCACCACCGTTTTTAGTTGATGTCGACGGCAATCCGTATCCACCAATTATGCAAAAACTAGTTCCAGGCCGTGAAAGTTGTACCGCCGATCAACTCGTACCGAATATTTCCGTTGGACCGGAGGGTATTGAAGTGGTGGAAGGAAATGCAGTTTCACACATTGATCGTCTGATTGCAGGTATGTTTTTTTTTTATGTTATGTTTCGTATTTCAATCGAAAAACGTCAAACGATGATGACTAACGATGGTTAATTATCATTTTTTTTAGCATTGGCAAATCGTCAAGGTGCCGGTGGAATGGCTGACGTTGGAACTGAACGAAACGGCAATGTTGACAATCAAATTCGTGGAGGAAATGTCGGCGGTGCCTTTCAACAAGGTATAGCACCAGCTGAAGCAGCAGCAGCTGCTGCACAAAATCGATTAAACGCTCCAAACGCAGCAAATGCTGGTCAAAATGCTGATCGCTTGAATCTAAATCGACTTCCAGCTCGACGTGAAGAAGAAGGCATTCGACGAACAGTTGGCAATTGGGAAAGTGGAATACAATCCATCAAATGGCTACGACGAATGTATATACGACCAATGCCAATATCACGTATTAAAATGCTACGCACTACCGTCTACGAAGCTGGTCTCCAAGAAATGGATCATTATCGAAAAGAGTTGCGCCGAAAACCGATTATGATTAGTACATCGAATCCAAATTCATCGGCCGTATCGCGTGGTCCAATTCATGTACGTGGCCGTCGAATTGTTGGTCGTACACGCAGTGCCAATACATTACAAGTCAATGGATATCAAGCAGTAAATCGTGCTGCAACGTATCGTACGCGTGCGGTTAGAGAACGTGAACAACAACAGGATGTTGATGATGATGACGATGATGATCATAGTGCAACGAGTGTTTCAAGTGATTCAAGTGATGGAACATTGGCAGAAGATCAATTATCATCAAGTTCGGATAGTAGCGATTCACAAAGTTCAGCCTATTCAGACTGGGTGAATCCGGATGCTGAACAAGCAACACTTGTGCCACCGAAACGATCGCGACGCAAACGTGTCAAACCACGTTCATATTCGCCAAGCGAAGGGCCAAGCAATCAAACTGCTGGTCGCGTGGCTGGCAGACGAAATTTACCAATTGGTGATAACAATGAAATTCCTGAGATTTATCGGCCACCAGAGTGGCTGTCCGAAGTTATACCACGCAAAGCACCATACTATCCTCAAATGGGCGATGAAGTTGTTTATTTCCGTCAAGGCCATAAATGTTATCTTGAAGCTGTGCAACATAAAAATGTTTACAAAAATGTCGGCGCCGAACCGTGGGCTCGTTTGGATTTACGTGACTTTGAATTTGTCAAAGTGATTGGAATCAAATATGAAATACGACCGCCACGACTTTGTTGCTTAAAACTGGCACTGATGAACAATGATGGAACGTTGAAAAATCAACGATTCACCATAAAATATCACGATATGGCAGATGTTTTGGATTTCCTTGTATTGAAACAGACATATGATACGGCCGTGAATCGATTGTGGGCAACTGGAGATCGTTTTCGTTGTATGATCGATGACGGTTGGTGGATGGGTCAAATCACAAGTCGTGTACCGTACTCGGAAGAATTTCCCGATTCGTTGTTTATGTGTTTCCAAATTCGATGGGATAGCGGCGAAACGGAACGAATGAGCCCATGGGATATGGAACCAATTGATAATAGTAGATTACCGAATGAAGTAGGTGGCGTTGTTCAGGTTTTAGCCGAAGAATTACAAATGATGTTGTATCAACCGACTAGTGAAGAATGGCCGCGTGGAGATCGAGATGGCACCTGTCGTCGCATCGTTGCGGGCTTAGAAGAAGTGATGGGCTTGGCAATAGCCGATCCATTTTTGGTACCTGTTGATTTAAACATTTATCCAACGTACGCATTTGTTGTTGAATATCCAATTGATTTGACTACGATCAAAGCAAGGTTCGAAAATCATTTCTATCGACGCATCGCATCTGCACAATTTGACGTTCGATATTTGGCCACGAATGCCGAACAATTCAATCAAAGCGACAGTCACATCGTTAAAAATGCACGAATCATCACCGATCTATGTTTACGAATTATACAGTAAGTGTACAGATTTACACTCTTATTTTGCGATTTCAGTGACTAAAACCCCATTTAAATGGCATTTTTCAGGGCTCCAGATATCGATGTAAATGCAGTATACCATCAACTAATGGCTACATATACATCCGATTCGGAGGATAATCAACAACCAGGCACAAGCACTGGCAGCATAACACCAGCTGGCCGAAGACGGTAAGTTACTTTTGCGTGTGCAAATAGAGGGAAAAACACTCATTTTCATTCATTTCGTTTTATATAGATCACGCAGAGGCGCAGCTCTCAATAGCAGCGGAAGTAGTGGTAGTGGTGATTGGCGAGATAAATGCCGGCAAGTTTTGGAAATTATTTGGAATCATGATGATTCCGTTCCGTTCCGAGAACCGGTCGACACAATTGATCATCCAGGTAAAATATACATGATAACAATAATTGATTCGCACAGTGATTTTTTAAGGATATCTTGAAATAAACCACACTCTGTTCATATTTTCAGACTACTTACAAATCATTGACTCGCCAATGGATTTGAGAACGGTCAAAGAAGAATTATTGATTGGCAGTTATCAATCTAAATCGGAATTCTTGAAAGATGTACGCATGATTTTCTCCAACTCACGACTATATAACACCAACACTCGATCCAGAGTAAGTACCTATTCCTTCATTTGCTTAATTAGCACTAAATGAATTAAATGTAATCATAAACAATTCCATTGAACTCATTCTTCTTTCCTTCATGCTTTTTGTCTGGTCTATATATCATAAAATCATGAACGTTACATGCTCGAAATATTTGCACACACAAAATCAAAAATCAAAAAAACAAATTTGCCACTTTTCCTCCCCTTCGTCGTTTGTAATTCAAACCAAAAATTTAACACATACACACATATAAAAAAATGTCATTCGATAATCGAAAGGAACGTACGTCGGTAAGCGGTTAAAAGCCTTCATCTTTACACATAATCAAGCAATTATATTCTCAACGTACTAAATTTTTTTTTGTAAATATTTGTTTCGATCAAAATTTGCATGAAAAACCAAAGAAAATGTAACATTGAATTCGAGAAGGCTTCGCTTGCAGCAATTCAAATTTCAATTGGCCACATGGTATCTGTTGTTTTTTTCGTTTATAAGTGTAAAAAGCTGATAATTGGTATTATTTTATTGATAAGTTGTCGTAATTTTAAAGAAAACGAGAATCACGTTCGAGTTCGTTTATTTTGCTTTAGTCGTTCATCCGCCATGATTCGAAGTAACAAATTTAACAAAAAAAAAAAAAAAACAATTGTGTTTGAATTTATTTCACAGATTTATTCCATGACATTGCGATTGAGTAATTTGTTCGAAGAGCAAATGAAAAAGATTTTCAAACGTTCTTCGTTGAATCGAGCGGCTCGCGTTCGAAATGAACGTCGTAGAAATGGCGGTGCATCAACGTCATATGCACATACAAATGGTGGTCCAAGCACCTCACGTCAATACACTCGTGTACGTCGTCATATAAGCGATGAAGATGAAGATGTTGATGTAATGAATGGCGAGACGCCATCCAATAGTACTGGTCGACCAATGCGACAGATTCGTGCACGACAATCGAATCATGCGCCGAATGGTGTTACATCATCGCAAACGGAAGCGGGCCCAAGTGGATATCGCATCAAACGAACCCGTCGTTTCGAAAGTGACAATGAAGACGAACCTAGTAGCGAACCTAGTAGCGAAAGTGAATCGGAAAATGAGTCGGAAAACTATGATCCAACTGAACCAAAGAGCAGTCGTAGATCATCGAAAAAGAAACATCGACGAACAAATGGAACGTCAACATCAACGTCTAGCAAACGGCCGCGACGTCTCATATTACACGAATCGTCCGATGAAGAACCGGCCGAAGATGATGAACCAACGGTGCCAGTTAATAGTCAAAATAGTAAACGATCAAGAGGTCGACCGAGAAAAAATCAAAAAAATCAAATCAGCGACGATGAAAGTGAAAACGAAGAAAATGAGTCAGAAGCCGGAGAGGATGATGTTGAAGTGAACGAAGACGATGAAAGTGAAAACGAAGACGAGGTGGATGGTGAAGATGAGCAAAGTGATGACGAAGAAGATGCTCAACAGGATAGCTATCGACCGACACGAACACCAAAACCAAGACAATCACCAGTTCGATCGACAAGAAGTAGTAATCGACGGCAACAATCCGACGATTCGGACACACCGTTGCTACCGTCACGGCGTACAACATCAAAACGTGTTCAAGACGATGATAGCTTTGATGATCCGGAAGTTACAACATCAAGTCGTCGCAATGTTGTAGGAAATACACATGACAATCGCACACGATTACGGCGACAAATTTTACCAGATGGTGCTGTGCATGAAGATACACCAAGACCAATTCGATCAACACGTCACAATTCTAGTCGAAATAATGGTACGATAAATCAAGATTCCGACGACGATGATGATAGTGATGATGATCAACTCCTTAGTCAAATTGTTGCGAGTCAAAGTCGATCAAAGCGAAGCCCACGCGGTTTAAGTCCACGTTCAGTCACTGCGACAGTACCAACAACCGAATTTGTTGATACCACGTCGCCGGTTCAACAGAATGGTAGCCCAATACCACGCACACGTGAAATGATTCGACGCAAACAAATGACCGTATCAACTAGCAGCACATCCACTACAGTAGCATCAAGTCACAGTTATCATAGTGTAACACGTTCCACAACTGTAGAGTCAACATCACAGATTGAAATACGAAGAAATCAGGTAAGAATAGCGCCTAGCGTTTATTTCATGTAAAAAATAACGTTATTCATTGTAATTGTTATATTTCAACAGGTACAAGAAGACCATAATTATGGTGAACCGGGTCCTTCGACACTTCGTCATTCACGGCGAATAAATCAAATGTCACGGTTACAACGAAGTCCCGACGAACATGATAAATCACATGTAAGCAACACTGAAACTCCAGTCGATCCTCTGCGAATACCCGAGAGTATATCTGGTCGTTTGCGGAATCGAACGCCCAAAAGTAATACAAATGCTGACAATGAAAGTGATCCAGACGATGATAAGCCGTTGCATTTAATGGTCACTGAATCGCCGACACGTAGTCGACCAAGCCGACATTTGACACGATATTCTGATGAACATATTAGCCAAACACCGCCAACTGGTGCATCGAGTGCAACAGCATCCTCATCCACACGAAGTTGTCGATCACAAAAACGGCCACACTATAATGAGGAATCCGAAGAAGATGATAACCATCGAACAAAACGACAAGCAACACAGGGCCGGTATGTATTTCTAAAATTACCAGTGTTTTTAGCAGTTAACAATCTATTCATGAAGTTTATTCTATGTTACACAGGACCACATGGAATAGTTCGGGTACAGGTAATCCACGACGTGAGGTGAACAAAACGTATTATGGAGATGAAACATCAAACAGTGATTTCGATGATGAGGATGAAGAAGCCGAAGAGCAAATCAGTATCAGTAGCAGAGGACGAGTGCGTAAAATATCGTCAAAGGTGCGTGGATATTTCCGCGAATAAATGCTTATTATTACGATAACTTGAAACGTTTGAAGCAATGTAGAAATGATGCACATAAATAATTCTTTAAATAGTCTGTAATATATTACGAACAAGTTTATTTCGTAAATTGACGACGACAGCAACAGCAACAGCAAAAATAAATTCAAATCGTATTTTTCCACAATGACAAGGCGATGTGTACCTCAACCATAAACATTACATAGATCTAAGAAGCCACGATGACTTATAACATAAACTGCCTTCGCTTGGTTTCATATAGTTTTTCTTTCTATCTTTCTTTCTATTCTTCACTTCAATGAAAGACCTTTTTCAATTTTTTTTTGAAATGTTTTTGTTGTTATAATAATGCGGTGCTTCAAGTAGTTAAAATTGGGCGCGGAAATTCAATTAACATATTTGAATCTATATCTTGAAAATAATAGCCAATTTCAAGTACTCTATTTGAAAAAAATTTAGTTTTTTATCGCATTTTCGTTTATCTTATATTTTATTTTTTATTTTTTTTCCTCTTTTTTTCTTCATTATATTTTAGATAAGAAAGAGTCGATAATGACAACACCTTTACTTGATGTAATTCCTAATTATACAACCCAACTTTTATCAAAAAAAAAAAAAACATAAACAAAATTCACTTCAAACGTGAGATGTTTCTTCTTTTATCTGTGTGTAGTGAATCTTTTTTTTTTTGGTACAATTTTCGTTTTTACATTTTTTTTTATATAATCACAATATTAATTCAATCAAAGCTGCAATGTTTTTTCTTTGTGGTCAATGAAATAATCTCATTTATTGAAAAATTAGAAGTCTGACTAATTGTTTAGTTGCTATAGTTTATAAAGAGTAGAAAATTTTCTTGTAATGAAAACGCATGATAATAAAATAGCTAATTAATGCTAAATCTATGTGGAAAACGCATCAAGAATAACAAAATGAACAAAACAAAACTATCTTAATATGTGAATTATCGTCTTTATTTTTAGTTTAAACACATTATGGGATTCTAGCAAATGTGAACGATATTTCCAATTCGGTGTGGAAATATTTGCAATGGAAAAGAAAAGCAAAATGTATTGTTAGCAAAAGGAATATTAAAAAAAACTACGAATTTCATTGATTTAATATTAAAATTATTGATTAAAATTGCAAACGAATCCCATACAAACATGTTGTCTTTGTAAAGTTTGAAATAAAAACAAAAATGTAACAATTAAAGAAAAGAAATGTTATAGTCTATAAGATGAGATACACCGAATTGAAGTAACTCAATAAATTATTAGAAAAAAAAAAACATTTTTGACAGAAAAATATAAAGAATTTTTTTAACTTTTTACCTTTATAGTTTATACGTACTCTAACATTTGCATTTCTTGCTCTGTCATTTCGTAAGTACTGAAAGAAAAACGAATGAGTTTGAGAAGGAAAAGCACCTTTTTACCACATTATCATGGATATATTTCGGAAATTTTTCCACCCGACACAATTCAGTGGGATAGAGTGGAAAAATGTGCACAGCTACTTGAATTTACTGTTGTCAACGAGCTTCGGACGCTATTTGCTACGATCGGAGTGAACTCGGAATTGGTATTTCCATCTTGACGATTGTTTATTTTATTTAGACAGTAGACACGAATAAATGTGATTTCTTATTTATTCATTTGGTCATTGCTTTTAGGGATTATCCAGAGTAAAAATAGAAATTATGCGCAATTGATGAGATTTTTTAATGGTTTTTCATTGAAAAAATCAATAGAAATCGAAGTTGATAGAAATGTCATGTAAGGAAGAAGAAGCAAGCAAATACATGCACATGACCAAAATCCAACAAACCACGAATAGTACATACTACATAGATGCGATATCCTTAAAATGTCAAACCATTTTGAGATTCCTTCAATATGCTTGTCGCAATGTGGGCACAGATTACTTTTTTATTAAATTTTAAACCGAAAAAAAAATTGATTTCGATAAGATGGTCTCACCTCAGACATTTTCGCTTTTTTACCATTCAAATTACTTCCGCTTTCAAATTCTATTATTTTACCATAGTCAAATAATTTCATAAACACGAGTGTTCCAATTTTTAAATTTAAAATGATACATTTTATTTAAACAATTCAAGTCAATTCATTAAAAAGTTTATAGTCATGTCTACAATTCAATGGTACTAGCAAAATCGCATCGAACGTCCACTTTAATCGTTAAACAAATTCAGATTCGATCGATTCTAATAGTGTTCATATACATCAAGCATTGGTCGTATTTGAATCAAACTCTTTCCAACAATTGTCGGTTGTTCTTTCAATGGAAATTTTAATGGCAACCAAATATGCACGGGACATGCTCCTTGTAGTTTTTGTCGTTTTTCATTCAAAGCGGGAATTCGTTGTTTGAATCCGGAAAACACATCGTATGACAAAACGATTTTCTTTAATTTTGGCAAAAATTCGATGAACGGTTGAACAAAGTCAGCAAAGCTCGGTGTATAATAAACGGAATCCCGGATTACCAATAGTTCTAAATTTGGTGTAATCATTGCAAGTTTTTCAGCTGCATACGCAGTATTTGGGGTATGATTCAAATATAATTCCTTTAAGTTGGTCAGTACATCGATGTTAGTTGGAAGATCTTTGGCAAAGTCAACATCACGAATATGTAAAGCATACAATTTGTCGAGGCAGGCTAGATTATTTAGATTGTCAATTAAAATATCTTTTACCAAACAGCTTCCGAATTCCAAAGCTAAACGTTTAAATTGTGGTTGTTGCGATATGACCAGAAGTTGTGCATAAATGTCATGAAATTTACACGCAACGGCAAAGGTTAGAAATAGTTCTTCCAATTGCAAATGTCTGATTGCGCACAATACCTTATCGATTTTCGTTGGATGCTTGGACAACCGAGATATGTATGCGAATTTTTTGATCTGTGAATTTTGTGCGAAAAATTCATCCAATACCGAAAGATCCAGTGATGCGTCCAGATGAATTTTCAAACTTTCAAGCGTTGGATATCGTTGATTCAACCATGATGTATCTTCCGCATAAATTATGTCGCACTTTTTCACGGTTAATCTTTTGATATTGTCACAATACCGAAGAATATTGGTGTAAAAATCATCCAATTCGCAATTCTGAAAGACAGCCTCGTCTACCGTTTCCAGAGCATTTGCGATGCATGCGCCGTCCATTTTATTCAATGCCATTCGTTCAAAGCTCAAAAATCTTGGATGTTTATTGCACTCGGACTGCATATAATAAAGCAGTAAATCATTGACGTGATTATGTTTATATTGCAATTCCCAATCCCATGTTTTTTGTGGCTTGTGATCGCCACAAAATGCGATCGATTGAATGACATCTTTTAGTGGTGCATACTTCTTCACGGCGATCTGTAAAGATTCAATATGTATAATTGATTATAATTAGAGTGGTGATTGTCATCACATACAATGCCATTCAGTCTTTCTATTTCAGTACGTTTGTTTGCATATCGACGCACAAAATATATTTTTACTAAACTGTGTATACGCACACAGGTTTCACTGAATGCGGGCAAGTCTTCAGCGCACAACCAACAGAAAATCGCTTCGAAGCAATCGTCGTTTAAGCGAAAAATTTCACCAGTTTGTATAATTTGTTTGGTGAAATTATTCACAGATGAATAGGACGTGCTCGTGCTGGCTACTTGGAAATCAAGTCGGCTTCGCTTTGGTGCTGGATCCATGACGAACCGAAAACGTGATGATTTTTTGTTTTAATTCTGAATAAATAATCGCAATAATTATTTAAATGTTTTCACCACGATAGCTACGATGGTATTTCTTATCTAAATGCGCTTTTTTTATTCAAAACTCTGCGTCTGCCATTGAGACAAAGCAATTGGTCGACTGTGTTTTTCTGCATAGTATGCATTGTACTGACAGTAAAAATGTCAAATCGAATATTGTACATATTATTGACGATTGGTGGAGACACGTGCTATGCATTGCGCGCCAATTATAAAAACAAGCGACTCGTTCAGCGAACGAATATTTAAAGTTTGTGCTCAGCAAATAGAGTGTTACTTACTTTTTTCATGCCATTTTTAGTGTCTATTCAAGTAGCCTTTTATTGCGAGAAAAAAAAACAGTTACCTTTTCAATTCAAATTGGGTGATAGCTTTAAGTTTCCAAAAGCGCATTCAGATGCGCATTACAAATTCAATAAAAGTGATAAAAAGATAGGATTGCGAAGAATTGTCAAAGAACAACAACAACATTTATTGGTTTTTACCAATCGGATTAACTTTATTAAAATCATTTTTTCTCTTTAAATACATTTGATTAATATCAAGTGTTACCTGAAATTTGAAATTTACCTTTTGATCAACGGAACGTCTCTGTAATGGCCGTCCTTCTAAGAACCTTTGATTCAACGCAACTGTAATGACAACAAAGCAATTTCCATTAGTTTTGATTAAATAAAATTGATCGGATAGAAGTATTTGTTTTATGGAATCAGTATCTATTGAGTGTCATCAATATCATTATGTCGGGAAAAGAAGACTAATATGAGTAGAATCATCCTTTGTAAAACAAACGACTTCAAATATATTTTTTTCAATTTTGCAAAATGAACAGACAATATGATTGATTCTTACCATTTCTTCTGAAACTCCAGCATTCCATTCTACTTTCCTGAAGACATCAAACTGTAAAATTTCGAATAGCAATGATTAGATTCATAAAGGATTTTACAAGGAGTTTTTTTGTCTAGCATTTAAATCAGATACAATATAAAATTGCAGCCAAGTGGTATTCTCATATCAACGATCAATCGGTAATTTTTGTCATCATTTTAAATTTCTTCGAAAGTGGCTTATATTTTTCAACATAATATTTTATAACGTATTTACCTTATCCACTTCGATAAGAGGCTGTAAACTAAAGCTGAACTTTGAAGAAAACACTGTAAATAAACAACGAAAATAAATGAATTAAAATGTCGCTTTTAAGAAAGCCTTATTTTAGATAAAACCACGTTAAATCAGTACAATATTTTCAAAGAGAAAAATTGCAGCCAAAATGGTTATTCTCATTTTCGCAAATCAATCGGTAATTATTATCCTCATTGTAAAGCAATCAAAATTGATCGAAATTTCACCAAATTATTTGACTTTTCAGGGCGAGGTTGACAGAGAAACTGTATAGAGCTTATGCCATTAACCGGATAAAATGACAAAAAAATGTGTGACTTAGAAAGGTCTTATTTTAAATTTGAAAATTATTTACGAGCAAAATATGCAAAAAAATTGGGACTTATAAAAAACACATACAGTGCCGTGCAAAAGTTTGAGACCACCCATGTATTTTTCATACAAAATGGCGTAAAATACCATTTTTTGAGGTTTCGAAAATAAAACTTTTTATTCTCAGAAATCAATGATTTTCGGCATATTGTTTCAATATCTTATGAAGAACAAAATAGTAAATATTTAGAAAAAAATATTCACTGGTTTTGAAATGGCAAGTCTTTGAATCCAATGATAGCTAAAAACAATTCATTTTCATACAAAATGTGTCATTTTTATCTGTGATTGAATTCAAAGACTTGCCATTTCAAAACCAGTGAATATTTTTTTCTAAATATTTACGTTTTTGTTTTCCATAAGATATTGAAACAATATGCCGAAAATCATTGATTCCTGAGAATAAAAAGTTTTATTTTTAAAACCCCAAAAAATTGTATTTTACGCCATTTTGTATGAAAAATACATAGGTGGTCTCAAACTTTTGCACTGCACTGTACATTAGATTTGTCGATTTTCAGTTCACTTTTGGAGCCACACTATAGCACCACTCAATATTTGTCAATAATTAACCATGATTTTGAGGTTTCTGCACCCATAATTTGTCTTTTAGGGTAAATCCACACAAATTTCAATATTATGGCATTGTACAAAAAAATCCAAGAGAGAACTAATTCGGCAAGCCTAATACACATACTAGATTTGGGTGAACTGTTTTTGAAATGATTTATTATTAAGGTTTGAATAGTTGAATAATGAATATCGAAAAAGAAATGACATTGACACTGTGCTACCTCAAGCCAGTGAAAAAGTTAAATTGTTGATGAAAATAATTTTGTGTTTTCCAAAAAAGTATGTCTTCTCTAAGTAAAGTTACTGATTAAATCACACATAATAGTCAAGATTTTCAGTGACCGTCAAAGAGAACATTTTGTTCTTGGCTGTATTTTGAACCACTTCTTCAAACTTGATTTAACGAATGAAGTGGTCTTCGATACGCCGATTTTTCTGTCTTAAACATTATTTAGCTTCAATTACCTGTATCGTTTCATGATAATGTAACAGTATCAATATGAGACAGTCATGGCTAACTGACCATATCCAAACGGGTTGAAGATCTCAATTTGACTCTTCTGTAAAATAAAATTCAGAATTAGTTTTTCTTCGAATGAACATGAATAGGATTATTTTGTTAAAACGATTTTCTCATAAAAAATAGTGTGATCTACAATGCGTGGTACACTCTTAAGCTAATTTGCACCATGCTTCAGTAATTAGATCCGTGTTTTATAATCATTGAAAACAAAAAAATAAAGAAAATATTCTTGTAAAATTACCTTTGAGATGTCAGCCGATTGGTGTCAATAGCCATCTTCGAAATAGTAAAAGAATGTTCCAATGCAACGTCTGAAAATTGTAAGAAAAATATTAAAATTCGGTTTTTCAAAGACAGTTTCAATTCATAAAATCTGTTTCATTAATAAATTTCATAAAATATTTGTTGGTTTGTACCAGTTTTCACTGCGATAAAGCAATCGGTATTTATTTTTTCACCAGAGCGATATAGTCAAAAGGGGATTCAGATCCCGTTTGCTTAGCAAAACTTGCATATGATAAAAAAGGTTTTTTTTGTGAAAAAAATGATGTTTCGATAAAGATAAAATCCTCATAAAATCAACAAACGAAATCAAAAATTTGATCTCCAAAATAGCTGTGCTACATAGATTTGTTCATATAAGTTTCGAATATTTTGCAGGTATCAAATCTTTGAAGAGATATTTTATTTTTGTGTTTCAAGAGCAGAGAGTTTTTGTGAAAATAAAGCAATTTACACGTATGGTGAATGGCTTTAATCCACCATTTAAAGAAATATGCTTATCATTTTGTATATTGAAGAAAAACTCATTTACGCAAAGTAAATGTGTTTTTGTTGATAAAACTGATTGGCGATTTTTTAAAAAAATATTTCTTACCTTCAGTATGTTTCGTAAGCATTATGCTCCATACTGACAAAACTGATTGTGAATTTTAAGTACATAGTACTGGATGATTTTGAACGAATT